AATTATTATCTGAAAATATCTTTCAGTTCAAATATTGACACCAACATAACTATTTGTAATCATGTAACTTCAGTAATTGTGCATTTACAGCTTCCATTGCCTTATTTGTAAATTGTAGCTACAATTAACTTAATTGACCTGTCAAAATATTTTCCATATTTGTTATAAAAACAGATGTTTTTTTAATCATTAAACAATTAACTGAACTTCCATCCTTGTGAAATAAATTGCACAGTGTCAACTTTCTCATAGTATCCACTTTATGGAATCTACTGACAGAAGATTTACCAGGCGTTGGTTCACTTGTGTTTAAATTTTCTCATATAATAATAAAATAGGGATTCAATAAATTAGAAAAATTCAGAGCAAAAACCCTCCAACATTTTCAATCAGTCCATTCAAAATTGCTGATTTGTTAAATAAGTTGACTATTCTCAGGCTTAAATAGCAGATTCAATCATGTTTTTTTCAAGAAAAAGGCAATTAATAAACAAAGGAGTAGATTCACAAAGGGTAAATATTGGTTCCAAAAAATCAGTGTTAATTTCACTTAATTGTCATTAGCACTTACCTGACATTAGTTTCATTTCTCCAAGTCAAAATTTATTTGAAAAGCAAGATTTCATGAAGCCCATAATTACTTCAATGATGTTTGATTCCTTAAGTTCATGCTTTTTAATAAGTACATGTATTTATATACTTTTAAAGTATTAATTTCAGTAAAAATTTTGCTAAAAAATTCTTTATCAGACCTTCTCCTTTTGGCATTGAAGGCTCTACTCTCTTCCAGATTTTGAAAGGTTTTCATAGTAATGTTAAAAAAACCAATACAAAATATTTTTAAAATTTGTGAGATATGAATGTTGTCTTTTTTATATCTTTCTTAGCAACATTCTTAGGTTTTAAATGATGACAGAAAATATGATTTTGATAGACCACATCTCTTTTTAATCATCATAATATCTTTTTATATTCAATGTCACATTTTGTCAACTCAAAATTGTTTGCCATGCCTCCTGTAGTAGGAAGTGCATCATGATCAGTCCATCAGTCATATGGTATCAGGTTAAAGTTTATTTTTAGGTAATGAAATAAAGTTCTGGTCACATCAACTTGAAATTTAGAAAAAAAATGATACTTGTAAGTGGGATATGAATTTTTAATATATATGACATATTATGGTTTCAACCCAGAATTTGTGGTTCACTGAACATGTAAATGTGATAGTGCAAGTGTTACATGGTGTCCTATAGACACACATTCTTGTTAGCTGTAAATTGTTCTCTTGCTTATGTGTGAATATTCACTGTTTGTTTTTTCAATGGAAATTATTATTGATTGATTGATTGATTGATTGGTGTTAAACACCACTTTCAGCACTTTTGTGCTATTTCATGGCAGTCAGTTTGTATTGGTTGAGTAAGCCAGAGTGCTCTGAGAGAATTCCAATTTAAAAAAATTAAAATAAAATGCTCTACAAGGCGCAGCTTGATACGACCGCAGAGGTCTAACCCTAAACAGTTGGGGCAAGTATGGACACTACATTCAAGCTTGATACAGCTCTGAATTTGGATTGTGATTAAGTATTTGATACAGCATAGGTTTCTCACACAGAATGAACTTAATTTAAAATTGGACATTTACCTATTCTGTTCCAATATCCCAAATCTAAATACATGGTAAGTTCAGCATATCAAAGAACCCCAAGAATTCAACTTTTGATGAAATCAAATAAAGTTTTAATTTTGGACCCTTTGGACCTCAATGTGGAGTCGTGGACCAATTTAATAACCGGGCCCAAAATCCAAAATCTAAATACACAGTTAGATTCAGCATATCCAAGAACCCCATAAATATAATTTAGTTGAAATCAAACAAAGTTAAATTTTCCTTTTGAGGTATGGAACCTTGTGGTACAATTTCATAGAGATCCATACACTTATACACAAGTTATTGTCCTGAAAGAAGATCAATGCTTGTTTTTGGCCCCTAATTTCTAAACGGTGAGGGCCATCACCCCCAAAATCAATTACAACCTTCCTTTAATGGTGTGGAACCTTGTGGTACAATTTCATGGAGATCCATACACTCATACTCAAATTATTCTCTGGAAACCAAATGTCTTCAGACGACGATGATGATGCTGAGAACGTCTTAACAATATACAACCCCAAAAAATGTTTGCAGTCGTATACAAATTTTTGTGATCTAGTAATGGGTCATTTTCTCTTGGATTATTTTTATTATTGAAGTTTGTGCATATAATATCAAGAGTAGTGGTATGATTGCAAATGACACAACTATACATCAAAGAACAAGAATGCACTGTAGAATATTTATTATAGTGAGCAGAACCCTTACCTGAAAATAAAAGCAATACAGGCCCACAGGTAACAAAATGTGAAACAATTTAAACGTGAAAACTAACAGTCTGATCTAAGCTTATAACCATGAAGAAAAACAATTATGGCAGACAGCAACCAAAGATAACCACTGGATTACATGACATTGGCTTGAGGCAGGCACATAAAGAATGTGGTAGGTTAAACATGTCTATAAGAGCTCAACCCTTCCCTAACCTGGCACTGTGGTGGAACACCAGCTGTAAAAATTAGAAACATCAGAAACATACTATGTACAAAACAATCTAACAAAATGACAAAAGACAAGAATAACCCATCTTCATTCTAGTTATTTATATCTAGTTAAAAGCTATGTTTTCAACTAAAGTATAGACCATGTTTTGCCAACTATAGTATTTGTATGACTATTTTCAGGGCAATGGATAATAAACAGAACACTCCACTGGATACTTTTAACAGTATATTTGATGGTATTTTCTGAAGAAACTGAATTTGAAATGTGTAGCTGACTATATCAAGAATCATAGATATCTATTTCTATCTTTGCTGTTATTTTGACATATGAAAAGTGAGAAAAAAAATGTTCGGGTTTTTTTGGTGTGGAATATCTATTCCTCAAACTATTTTGTTTTTAAAGATCAACTCAGTTTAATAAAACTATGTTTAAAAATGATATTTAGTTTTGTTATATAAAAAAAATTAAGTCAATGCTGCAAATTCTGAAAAATCTATCTATTCATTTTCGAGTAAATCCATGAAACTCAACACAGCTAAAATAATTGAATGCAATTCAAAGGTATGTTGTAATTGAAAATTTATAAAAAATAAAGAAATTGAAATAATTTTGAAAATAACTGAATGATTGTAGCATTTCAAATATTGTCTGTGATAGTGTTTTGATACGACATTTACTTCTGTAGAATGATTTGTATACTTATTGTTTACCTAAATACTTAAGGTGGCTCTTGAAGAGTACAGTCATTGTTGAAAATTGTTATTTCGTTTTTTAATTGAAATAAATTCAGTATTTATCTAACCGTTGTGTTTGTTACATTTTCAAACATTCATGAGGAGATGGTTTAGAAAACACAGGCCAGAACAATTTTGACACATCTTCCAGGCTCATAAGGATTTCAGATATTGCCAGCACTATTCTTTCATCTATCTTAACCTCAAGAGAAATGAGGTAAATGTTAAAGAGGTAGCAACCCAATAATTCAATTTGAGAAAAAATTAACATCTAAAGGCCTCCATATGGTCTTTAATTGTCAAAAAGTGCTTAACAGCAAGTTTTCAATATCTAAAACAACTACTTAATCAATTTAAACAAATTTTGCCTGAATCATTTCAATGGTAAATTGCTAAATAGGTAAGAACAAGACAAGTCCATGTGAGTTATAACCTTACAGACAACTGTCTTGTGTATAAATAGATTTGATTGATTTTGATTTTTGGTGTTTTAAAACCACTTTTAAGCACCGCTTTTGGACTATTTCGTGGCAGCCAGTTTTTATTGGTGGAGGAAGCCGGAGTGCCTAGAGAAATCCACCGACCTTCGATATGAAAACTGACAATCTGTATAAATAGAAGAAATCCACTCCAACCATGAGATGTCACACTTCTCGTATGTAAATTTGATAAAATTTGATAATTTTATTAAAATGACCAATACCATGAAATAATTGCAACATATGTTACAGTTGAGCTGAATAATGTATAAACTAGCTTGCACTAGATCTTGTTAATAAACTAGAGGCTCTCAAGAGCCTGTGTCGCTCACCTGATTCTACTTTGGTTTTGGAAATCATGTTAAAATAGATTAAAATCATAACAGATACCCTAATAATGAGTGAGGCCAAATTTGGTTTAATATTGGCCCTGTAATTTAATATTACAGGGAAAAAAAGCCATCTTGAACAGTAAATCAGCAACAAAGTAGCAACACTTCATCAGCACCTCATAAGAAACATTTATGCCATGTTTGGTTTCATTCCATTCAGTACACCTCTAGAAGAAGCATTTGTATGTATTTCCAATGGGGTCTTATGTTAAAGGAAGTCCCCCTCTGGCGGCCATCGTGGATGAAGGATCAGCTTCAAAGTAACAACATTTAGTCAGCACCTCATAAGGAACATTCATGCCATGTTTGGTTTCATTCCATTTAGTGGTTCTCTAGAAGAAGTTCAAAATGGAATAAGTTAACGACGACGAAGAACGACGAACGCCAAGTGATGAGAAAAGCTCACTTGGGCCAGGTGAGCTAAAAAAGGGGATTTGGGATAATTTGTAGATCATTACAAAATGCATATATTAATTTTCTGTAAATTCACTGCTTATAAAATGTTGAATTATTGGAAATATTTAGGTTTTTCTACCCCCATGCATATATTATCAAGTTGTATTTGGAATAACTTCAGAATTTTCAGTTTTTAATGTTCCTATTTGAATTCACATTCCAACTGTTTTGATTCAAGTGCAACTGATGAGTTTTATGTAGACAAAACATGTCTGACATACCAAGCCTTATATCTTTGATAGAGTTTATTTCTACCACAGGAAATTATGTAAAAGACATTTCACCTTGTTTAAATGGCATAATATTATAACGTTTGAAAAATTATATAATATAAAATAGAACAATTTACATTTTTTCTTTATTGTGTATAAGAAAACAAATAACATCTATGAAATGCAGAATCACAAAAATAAATTATTTGAAAGACTTGGCTAGTCTAATAGCCATGTTAAATGCACTCTTATAGGAAAACATTGCTTCCCTCACATAACCTGATTTAACTAAATCTAAAAATAATGGTGATAGTACTTATATAACTGAATAAGCACTTGTATAATTGATTAAAAATACCATTATTTTAACCTATGTCAAGTCTAGTTATGTGAAAGAATAATAATTGTATAAAAAGTAAAATTTCATTTGACAACATGAATCACATAAAGCTTATCTTTAATTTTCCTGTTTTTTGTATGTGAAATTTTTTTTTTTATATATTTGTATAGTTAAGATACAGCTTTAAAAATGTTGCTTCCTGTACAACTTTATAGCCAAAACAAAGGTTTCATTTACTAATGAACTGTCTGTTGTTTAAGTAACACATCAACTAAAACTCAATCATAACATAAAACATGGGCTTTTTTTACAAAAACTTTGTATTAGGTAACTGTCACCAAGTGACAACTATGATTGTCCATATCCTACTTGTTCACTTCTGACCATTATAACTTAAGAATTGGTTAACTTTCAAATACACTGCCCAAAGTCCTAGAATGACACATAATCTTGTGTTAGTGAAATGTTAAAATCATGAAGTTAAAAAAATCTAAAATATGTTTTTTTCTCTGGGGGGTTTGTTTTTTTACCAAGGTGTATTAGAATCACTTGAATTAAAAGGCACACACAATGAAGCAATAAAAAAGGAGGTTACTAAATTGTAAAAATTGTGTCTGAATTATGATCTATTTGTCAATTTGAACACAATTTTTTTTTTTAATAAGGCAATCTAGGTACTAAGTCAAATAAGCAGGAATGAACCATATAAGACTGGTAAGGTGTAGATCCAAGTGATGGTCTACACCATATAATGTCAACTTTTATTTATTAAGCAATGCATTAAAAAAATTGCATTACCATCTTTGATAGTTTTTCTAGGGAAAGCAAAGCTGATGTAAATCATTTCATCCTGTAATGATGAAAAGTATTTGCATGTGTATACAAAGAATGTGAGTGATATGTGCAGATAAGCAGAAAAATTAAGCATACAAAACTATGCACTTTTAAACTAAATTCGTTTCAGCTTTGAAATACAACTTATGTTTAAATTATGTTGCTTCCCTGTATCTCAATATTAAATACTAGGTAAACAAGAGATCCTCAAGAAACAATTTTTTGCATGAATGAAACTTAGATGATTATTATATGGTATGTTTTTCACCTCAAAATAATGATGTATATATCACTTAATATAATCTCAAGGTATACATGAACTAAAAACCATAGGAGTCAACCCAATAAACATTCAAAAGTTGAGTAGAACCCATTGGTATGACTTTCTAGGATATTTTATCTTACTTTTTCCAGGTAAATTACAACTGGTTGAAATGAATTTAAACAATCAATTTGACATTTCAGAATGCAAAGGATTATGGTTAATTCCCCAGATTCATTCACCAAAATATATATGCATTTTATTAATAATAATTTGTCAACCTACATTGAAAAACAGGCACTTCTACTTAACAGTTATGTAGGAAAATCTAATTTTATCAAAAGGGAGTTATGCTTTTCATGGAGGAATTTCAAAATAATTAAGAACTGATACATAAAGAGTTGACACCTACATAGAAACTGACCAAATAAGTTCCAAAACAAAATACATATTTATATATAAAACAGATTATGGTTACATATCTATCTTAACTAAACAATGATTTAATGAAAAAAATACCAGTATATGTGCTAGGTGCCAAACTGACCCTAAAATTTAATGAATTTTAATTTCTTGAAAAATATAAAGATGTTTGCCACGGATATTTTTAAATGTTCTCTATATTTGTAGGATTTTTCTTTAACATTGTATTTCATATAATTTTTTTCATTTCTTTGAATTTACAAAGCGAGCTTCTTGAAACAAAAGATATGAAGGCTATTTTAATGTTCATAAAACTGCCAGTAAACCTGCTTGCCATGAAATTAATATAATGGGTAGATAATTTGTATATAAGTAATTTTTTAATTGTCAAAATATGCATTTTCTGCCTAAATTCTTTTTGGAAATTATTGAGAGACCAAAGTTTAGATTGAGCCCATATGATATAAACTACACATATAGAGTAATTTCTAAATTATGTTAATAAGCATTTCATGATTAATGATTTACTATGATGACGGAAATATTTATTACCCCTCATGATTTCTATAATGTGAATTGCACAATACCAGGGCTTGACTAGCAATAATAACTGGTCTAGTAATTGGAATGTATGTAGATACTTCTTGTAAAAGATAATATATAAGAACTGCTGTCTGAGCTCACTGTATTGTAGGGTTGTTTTAATGTTATATCATGGACTAAACAAGTCCTGACCATCTGTGCAGGTATGATCCCCATCCAGCACCTTGACCTTGAGCTGGCACTTCCTCACCTAGAAAAATAATACACAGCTGATGTGAAAGAAAAAAAGCATCCCTAAATCATAATTAAAAAAGTCTCTGAATAACTACCAAATTTGTTATTCTCAACTTATTAATCATTGACAAAATATAACATGAGTGATCATCTGGTAATAATGAGAGAAAAAAACAAAATCATTGCTTTTTATAAGAATGCCATGATCATTTTGAGATAAAATATGCAACTACAGGTACAAGCAGGACTAAACATCTCTCACATACTTATATATATCATCTCATTATGACAAACTTGGAAATTGATAGAAATAAGACACCTTAAAATAAGTTAGTTCTAAAATTATCTTTATTGCATATGTCTTGAAGTATCATTTAGTCTATTAAAGACAAAAAATATCTGTCAAAACACTTAAACATAATACCTTGTGCAGCAGCATCTAGCTGGGCTTTCTCCTCAGGACTTAATTTCAACATTGTTGTTAGTACTGGTACAAGCTGCTGTCTCTCCTCTCCAACCTTTAGACTTATATACTAGAGCAAAAACAAACATCCATATAATTCTTATTGTTTTCTATAACTTGATACTTCAATTTATCTTGCCATTTTAAATTCTAAGAATTCATAGCAACATTTAAGAAAAGTCTAAAACTGATAAAATAAACATGTATGTTGTTAATTTCTGTGTCATTTGGTCTCTTGTGGAGAGTTGTCTCATTGGCAATCATACCACATCTTCTTATTTTTGTGTTACTACACAGTTGGTTTAGGACATTTTTGCAGTCCATCTATCTTAAAGGGGTGAGTGTGAGCTCTACTAAACATTTTGTATTTGTTGTCCAGCATTTTAAATATTTTCAAGAAGAACCTTCTCTTTAGAAAGCTCATGGCTGGAATCAAAGATGGTCATGATCACAACTTTATGGTAAACTACCGTAAACCAAAACTAACCCACAGGGTTGACTGGAGTATTGAAATATGGTCATCCTTGGACATTTTCCAACTGGCAGTAAAACCCTTGTTTAAGTAGGGAATCTGTTAGGCTGTGCAGGATGTATAAATATGCAGCCACATCCAGTCAGAATGGGGACATCAGATCTGATGCCTGGCGTAGGGAAAGTGCTACATTCTATGCACATTAAAAATGAAATATTTGCCACTGGCATTAAGAAAGCAACAATCAATCATTAAACCAAAACTTTAACCTAATAATGTTTTTTTCAAGGCAGTGCCTTTGTTGCCATCTTGTGGCAGCCATTTTGAACACATTATATAATTTATTCTTGGAGTAGCCAGGGTTGCTGGCCAGTATTTTGTTCATTCAAAATGTTATTTGCAAATTATGCAGATCAACTTTCAATAAAACTTTTTGACTTTTACTTATCTGCTTTGCATCATATTTAAGCTAGCATGCCAGTTGAATGCTGACGACTGATTGACTACCTTGTTTATGTGAAAATCCTAACGAAAAAGTTTCTATTTTTCATTGCTATAGCATTCTTATTTTGTGATTGATTAAATGCAAAGCACTGGTAACCATGTGAACCTTTAACAAGAAAAAGCAGTTTCAACAAGGACCATAACTCTGCACAAAATTATCAGACCGGAACAAAATTCAAACTTGATCTGTAACTTGTCATGATAAAACAATCTACCAAATATCAAATCAATATCTTCAAGCACCAAGAAAAAAGTGTGGAAAACTGATTTGCCGGACTGACGGATGGATGGACAGACAGACAGACGGACGGACGGACGGAGTGAAAACCTAAAGTCCCCTTCGACTTCGTCGGTAGGGGACTAATAATAAAATGATTAGCTGGAATGGAGAATGTATTGTTTTACTAAGTTGTTTATTAGCTTATTTTCTAGATGCAGTTATGTATATTCCTCTTGTAGTTAGATGTATTTTATCACCTGATATTATTAATGGGGATAAATTTGAACAATCCCTTGTTGCAAGAATAATGATTAAAATCAGACTTATTGCAAAAACACAAAAAGGAAGTAGAGCTTTCATATTACACAAAAGAAAGTGTTTTGTTTACAGGGGCACTTAAAACGTCAATAGAAATTTGAAACTGGAAATCACAGAAACATTTGATTTCTTTTCTTTCTTTTTTAAGATGCAGGCGAGATGAAGCGACCCTGCTATTTATTGTCATAGGTGCTGGAGTTGTCAATAACTAGTAGTACAGTTTGTGATTAAGCTTATCTTGAACATCTTTCACTGATCATTAAACCATTTTTTTTTGTTTGTAGAAAACACCACCTTTTTACACTGACAGAAGCAGTTGAATGCTAGACTGGAATTTCTAGCAATAAATGATAGGTAAAAATATAACATATATAGTACAATCAAGGATCTGGAAATTTTTTCACACAATTTCGGTTATTTTGAGATGACTTAAAAGTTGTGGCCCTTTTTTCAATCTGTATAACTATCAAAATTATTCACACTAGATTCATGGCATTAACAAACTTGAATTGACTGTTTTTATCGCATTTACTTCAAGAATTTCTTACCTTTTTATTTAAAATCGTTCAAGAACAATTTATGGTATGCAACAGTTTAAGATTTTTAAGGATGTAGTTAGGTGAAGTTTAAAAAATCTAGAATTTAAAATTGATACTACAAGTCAGAAGAGCATTAGTTAAGGAACAAAATAAGCTAAAAATATTGATAGGTTATGGAACTCCTATTTGAGATATTTGATTTTTAAATAAACAGCTGCGCCATGAGCGCATGATACGCCCGTCGTCTTGTGTGTGAATTTTTATGCAATAAGCATAAATAGTTTCTGACATACGGCGTGACATGTGAAAACCCCCCCTTTAAAAAAAAAAAAAAAATCAATATCTCAAAAATAAAATTTTGAATCAAAACCAAAAAGTATACAGATCTGTAGATTAATATAACTAAGAAGTGTGTAAAATTTTAAGCAATAATCATAAATCGTTTTTGAGATACGGCGCGACATGTGAAAAACCCCTCCCCCTTTTTTTTTACAAAATACTCAATAACTCAAAAATTAAATTTTGAATCATCACCAAAAAGTATACAGATCTTAAGGTTAATATAACTAAGAAGTGTGTAAAGTTTTAAGCAATAATCATAAACTGTTTTTGAGATACGGCGCGACATGTGAAAAACCCCTCCCCCTTTTTTAATAAAATACTCAATATCTCTAAAATAAAATTTTGAATCATCACCAAAAAGTATACAGATCTTAAGATTAATATAACTAAGAAGTGTGTAAAGTTTTAAGCAATAATCATAAATTGTTTTTGAGATACGGCGCGACATGTGAAAAAAAACACACACCTGTTTTAGTTACTAAGTCCCGTAACTCAAAAAGTTTTTTCATCTTATTTTCACCAAAAAGTATACAGATCGTTTGATCATCATAAGAAACAACTATGTTAAGTTTCATGAAATTTGGATAAGTCATTCTCAAGTTACGGTGCGACATGTTTACGCCGGACAGACAGACGGACAGACAGACAGACGGACAGACAGATGGACAGACAGACAGACGCCGGACATTTGTATACCATAATACGTCCCGTCAAAAATTTGACGGGCGTATAAAAATGGTGGGAAAAGGCTGACTCTAACTTTTACCTTATATTTAGCATTGGCATTATTTGGGTCTCAAATGGTTAGAAAAAAAATATAAAATCTGCTTAAATTTGGCAATGACCTTTTTATGAGCTATTGAAGTCTTCTAAGAAAAGAAAAGTGGGTGATATGGGACAAAATATTTTACCCTGTATCTTAGGAAAAAACCAAAGAGTGCGAACATCTGACAAAAATGCGCTCCGCCTTGAGCAGCTGGATACGACCGCAGAGGTCGAACTCTGAACAGTTGGGGCAAGTATGGACACAATATTCAAGCTTGATACAGCTCTGAATTTAGATAGTGATTAAATATTTGACACATTATAGATTTCTGACACAGAATAAATGTAGTCAGATAACTTAAAAATTTGAAATGGGACATTTAATCTACTTAATGGTCCAATATCCAAAATCTAATTCCATGGTTAGATTCAGCATATAAAAAAAGACATGAATTCAAACAAAGTTTAATTTTGGACCCTTTGGACCTTAATATGGACTAATTTGAAAACAGGGCCCAAAATTAAAAATCTGAATGCACAGTTAGATTCAGCATATCATAGAACCACAAAAATTCAGTTTTTGATGAAATCAAACAAAGTCTAATTTTGGACCCTTTGGACCTCAATGTAGAGTTTTTTTTGTAGACCTATATTAAAAATGTCCAAATATCCAATATAGTAATACATGGTAAAAACCTCAAACAATTTAAGACTTTAAATTAATCCTCACTGAAACTGGTTAAAAGATTTGTATTTATTTTCAATTGAAGATTTCTTGCTGTTGTGCAATACTTTGCTGTTGCGCAATACTTAGTAAATCTGTTTACAAACTAAATATAATAATTTACACACCCTGTTTGGTGTGTATCTCCTGCCATATCAGTATTTGTTGTTTCTTTATATAGATCAGAAATAATTTATGTTAGAACCAGCTTAGGCAGTATTAGAAAAGTCTGGTTTTTGGCCCCTATTTGGCCTCCATTTTCTTAACGATTTAAACCACAACCCATAAAATCGACCCCAACCTTCTGTGTGTGGTATGGAATCTTGATATAATTTCATAGAGATCCATTGACTAATACTTAAGTATTTGTCCGGAAACCAGAAAAACCTTGTTCCTCCCCCCTTTTTGCCCCTTATTCCTTTAACGGTTTGGGCCATAACCCCCAAAGTCAATCCCAACCTTCCCTTTGTGGTATTGAACCTTGTGATTAAATTTCATAGAGATCCAAAGAGGGTCTAAATTAAAATCCTAAAATCCATAAAAACTTTTAATCATTTATCAAAACGTAGTTTATATCATGCTTTTTTCAAAATATAATAACAAAATGCTGCGCTGAGCGCAGCCTGATACGACCGCAGAGGTCGAACCCTGAACAGTTGGGGCAAATTTGGACACAATATTCAAGCTTGATACTGTCTGAATTTGGATTGTGATCAAATTTTTGACACAATATAGGTTTATGACCCAAAATAAATGTGGTCAAAGATCTTACAAATCTATTGCGCAATACTAAGCAAATTTAAGGTTTCTTCTTTCTTCTTGAAACTTTTCAAAAATTTGAAATTTGTAAAAATTTTGAAAACAAAATATGAAGCCTTAAAAAAATTGGAAGCCCCCACCATTTTTGAATCCCTCCTTGGAGCAATTACCTCCATACTCAATCCCAGCCTTTACTTTGTAGTATGGAACCTTGTTGTACAATTTCAGAGAGATCCGTTCACTTAAACACAAGTTATTGTCTGGAAACTAGAAAAATGCTTGTTTTTGGCCCTTTTTTGGCCCCTCATTCCTGCATGTATGGGAAAATTACCCCCAAACTCAATCCCTGACTTCCCTTTGTGATATGGAACCTTGTGGTACAATGTCAGAGAGATCCATACACTCACACATAAGTTATTGTCTTGAAACTACAAAAATACTTGTTTTTGGCCACTTTTTGGCCCTTAATTTCTAAGCTGTTGGCACCATAACCCCAAAAATAAATCCCAACCTTTTACTTGTGGTATTAAACATTATGGTACAATTTCAGAGCAATCAAAAAAATTATACACAAGTTATTATCCTGAAACTAGAAAAATGCTTGTTCATCCCCAAAATCAATCCCAACCTCCCTATTATGGTATTGAACCTTCTTATAAAATTTCATAGAGATCCATTCACTTAAACTAAAATTATTGTCCGGAAACCAAATGTGTCTTCGAACGACGACGACATCATACCATTATACGATCCCCAAAAAAATTTTGCGGTCGTATAAAAAGTATGGGTCACCTGGCTTTTTTTCACACTACAGGTTGTGCAAAATTGTCAGATTTTGTATAGATTATGCATGGAAAACCTAATTTTGTGTGATAAAAAGAAAACTACACCATAGAATTTTAAGATAAAATATGAGAAGATAGCTCTAATAGTATGCCTTCAGATAAGAAAAAGAAAAAAGATAATAGTTGCACTCATTAATTTAGCATGCAATCATTTTGCATTTCAGGATTAAGTGGCTAATCTGGTGAAGAAAATTTCATGCATGCGTATTACATAGTAAATAAAGCATACATTTGACTCGTGAAAATAACTTTCACTACGTAACTTAAATCAAGTTTTAATTTACTGTAAAAGGAATTAAATAATGAAGAAAGTTTAATGGAATTTTAATTCCTTTATAATATTAGTTCTGAGCTTGTGATCACATTCAGGTGTGAATTAAAAACACAGGTAAAAAGTGTTTAACGATCATTAGCCAATATTTCCTCAATGAAATGACCGAAATTATTTCTGTTAAAAAAAAAATTTGACCTAAATCCCAACCTGCCTATTAGGACAAATAGCTTTCAGTTTCAGTCGTGACTGGCAAATATGACAGTTTCCGGACCCTTGAGTACTATACTACATTCATTATTTTATTACCTATTTTCAATCAATTATTGTTTCAGGTGACTGGCAATACACAGGGTCAGGAACCCTTTAACAATTTTTTTTTAAAAGAAACTGCCTTTTTAGCACATTCACATTTTGATTTAAAGTACCTACTTTGAGCAATATATTTTTAAGATATTCCATGTTTGAAGTTTCTTCTTCCCTCCTTTGATTTCTTTCCATTCTCCTTATTTCTTCCTTTAAGATTTTAGTTTGTTCTGTTAATCTCAAAATTGTAGCCTCACCATCATTCAGCAACTGAAAAAGAATGAAAATGAAAATAGTTTAATTGGCTTCTACAGACAAAATTATAAACTTCACATGTAAATTTATTTGTTATTAAAGTTGCGTACTGTAAATCATTAATTTAAGTTAAAATGGCCACAAGAGGAGTCAAGTTGACAAAAAAACCAAATAGGTAATTAGATTCTAACATATTTCCAAGAACAGATATCAAATCAAATCAAAACATGCAGGAATATAAAAATAAGAAGATGAGGTATGATTGCCAATGAGACAACTCTCCACAATGACGAGACCAAATGAACAGAAATTAACAACTATAGGTCACTGTATGGAATTTTTTCCAGAAAGTATTTACTAAGTGTTGTAAGGTCAGTACTGATGAAGAATCCGATGAGGTCCAAGGGGCCAGAAAAGTTACATTAGTGTGGTAACTGTGGTTTTTATACAACCGCAAAATTTTTGCGGTCATATATTGGTATCACGTCGTCGTCGTCCAAAGACATTTGGTTTCCGGACAATTACTTTAGTATTAGTAAATAGAAATCTATGAAAAAACATAAGGTTTATAACCACAAAAGGAAGGTTGGGAATGATTTTGGGGGTTATGGTCCCAAAAGTTTAGGAATTAGGGGCCAAAAAGGGGCCCAAATAAGCATTTTTCTAGTTTCATGACAATAACTTGTGGAACAGTGTATGGATCTTCTCTGAAATTATACCACAAGTTTCCATACCACAAAGGGATGGTTAGGATTGGCTTTGGGGGGTTATGGCTCAAACCGTTTAGGAATTAGGGGCAAAAAAGTGAGAAAAAACAAGGGTGTCCTGGTTAATGGACAATTACTTAAGTACAAGTACAAGTACAGGTGGGGGGGAGGTTAAAAAAAATTTGGGGGATAAAAAAAATGGTGGTGGGGTGGGGGAGACAATTTTTTCTCCTCAAGATTTCAGAAATCAAAAAGAAAATCCTTCAAATTTTTATTTTTTTTGAAAAAAAGGGGGGGAGGTCAATTCACAACAGCATAGTGTATTGCACAAAAGCAAAAAATTTAATATAAATTCAAATCATATCACCAATTCTAAGTTCTTTGACTACAGTTATTCTGTGTCAAATATTGAATTACAATCCAAATTCAGACCTGTATCAAGTGCGAATATTGTGTCCGTTTTTGCCCCAACTGTTCAGGGTTGGACCTTTGCGGTCGTATCCAGCTGCGCTCGGCGAAGCAATTTATTTTTTTTATAATACCTTATCATTCTCTTCTGCTACAAAGGGGTAGTTCAGCCATATTAGTTTATATTCAGGCTCCTGTGAGATTTGTATATATTACTTCTCAAAGTGAACACAGCATTTCTTCCTTGTTTTGTCGGTTTTGGGTTATATTATCAGTATATACAATATAAAAATGAGGAGATGTGGTATGATTGCCAATGAGACAACTATCCACCAAAGTTCAAATGAAGTGGATGTAAGCAATTATATGCAACCGTACGGCCTTCAACAAAGAGAAAAACCCATAACTTATAGTCGGCTATAAAAGGCCCCGACATGAAAAATATGAAACAATTCAATTGTGAAAACTAACAAGTCAAAAACAAATTCATTTTCTTCATCTCCACTTGTATAGATCCATTGTACTATTATTATATCAAGAAATATAGAACCATTTCATTATCATTATATAAAGAAAACTCTTGTATTGACAGGATGCAGGACAATGAAAGTAAAATAGTTGGATAGCAATTTATGTATAATTTTTATCTTTGGAAGAAAGAAAAAAATGATAATTCCCATAAAGGCAATATTCAAAGATCCTACTACAATATCAAATAGATAACCTTTAAGAATAAATTAATTAAAGGACAAATAAATTTCCATGGATCATATCTAAAATCTTGTTAGTACCAGTAGTAAATCACAGTATAGTAAAGGTACTGTCAAACTAAAAAAAAACCTCAAGAAAGGATTCTGTTAAGGTTTTACTGTAAATAATTTATGGTTACAAAATATCTGACTAAGTAATTTACCAGTTATACATAGATTACATTGATTGAAATCAAAGTCATTTAAGACATTGTCATAGCCAACAAGTAAGTTATACACCCACATGGTAAGAAGGGACAAAAGGAAAATCACTGTCCAAAAAAGGAAAATTAATAGGGATTTTGGTTTCAATTCAGCTGTTGACAGTTTATAAAAATACTACCTCAGTTAAATGTTCTATCTTCTTTTCAGCTGTAGACAAGTTTTCTTTCAATGTATCTTCACTTTGTAATGATCCTAATTTCATACCTTGAATGAAAAGACATAAAAATCATCTTGAAATTCCAAATCTGTAAAAATCAAATACAAAATTGAGAAATTGCATGATGTTTACCTTAACATAAAAGTATTGAAATATTAGTGAATTCCTTATTTCAAACTATCTGGGCATGTAACATTTAAACATTTTGTTCTCATTATTTTTCCATTTAATTGGTCTTCCAAGCCACGAGATAGCATGATTGCAGTCATTTTAAAAATAGTTTCAATGCTTTCTGTTTACCTCTTGTGAAAGTAAGGACAATTTTGGAGAACCACTTCATAAATATCATAGATTTTGTAGGGCTTTAAAGAGAACTTAAAAGAAATGATTTATCATTTGTATGTTTCTGAGTTTAGTTTGGCATCTATTTTGCAGAACTAGTATACATTATGGTTTAGGGGCAAGCTGAAGCCCACCTCCATGTGCAGGATTTACTTGTTGTGTTGAAGACCCATTGGTAGCCTTGGGCTGTTTTCTGCTCTTTGGTTGGGGTTGCTGTCTCTGACACATTCCCCATTTCCATTCTCTATTCTACCATTTAACATTGTGGATAAACATATTAACATTTATATGTTCCGCAAACTGCATCTTTTTATTTTGAAAATACACTACCCAATTCTGTATATACCAAAAGTACAAATGTTATAATCAATGAATGACTTGTTTTGGTAGAATCTATGTTTTACCTAATTCTTCTGATGCTGATGTTAGTAATTGGTCCAAAGGTAATGGTGATGAAACAGGAACAGTTGTTGTCTGAAAATAAAGGCATTATAATTATTTTATATCATGAAATGATTGCAATTCTTATCAGTAACTTGTAGGGTCCTGTAGATTATCACACAATACCTAATTGCAGCTTTATTGAAGGGAAAGGATTGCAATGAAGATTTAGCAACTTGTAACCAAAATATGAGATTTCTGTCAAATTATGCCTGATCCTGGTAAACTTTCATGTCTAACAATTTATTTCTGGACCTAAATCCCAAAATAAATTTCACGCCTTTAAAAATCGTTTATGACTGGAAAATATGATCCTTTCTGGACCTGTAGTGTATACATTACCTTCTGACATGGTTCTGGTTCAACTATTTCTGAACCCTACAACAGAAAAGGGTTAATGTAAGTCACAAAATGCTTGTTTGATACCTTCCATAAATATTAGCATGACTTTCTAATATTTCATTTATTCATCTGATGGCTATAATGAATAAAATGTTGTGATAAAAGGTGTAAAAATTGCATACTATCTTTGATTATTTATAAAATTATGGAAAATGCTGATAAACTTTCTCATATCTTCTTTGTGCTAAATTCATTTCACATTTTGAAAATAATTTTTCTTTTTGATATCTTGTTATTTCTGCTATCATTTTTTTACACATAATAAAAAATTGCAGGAAATACTTTCAATATAATATTTTAATACACAATTGTGAATTACCTCCCCTTCTTGTCTTTCAACATGTCGTATATCAGTGATGTATTCCACTGGAGATGATAGTACAGGACTTTCAGTGGTAACCCTAGTAACATGTTGCATCTGCTGCTGTAGATCTCGCTGTAGACGGAAGTTTTCATGTTCTGCTCTCTCCAGCTGTTGTTGTAACATTTCAGTGGTTTTATGGTGATCTTCTTTGAGAGCTTTAATTTGTTCCTAATATTATTTAATAAAAATAATACATATTCATTACTGGGTATTATAGAAAATTTATTTTCTAGATTTTTGTTTGCAAAAACAAATAAAGAATTCAAACTACAATAAAGCATTTTTTTTCTATTTGTTTGATTAGTGTTTATAATAAAACTATAGTAATTTAAATTTATAAAAAATAAAATGCTCCGCTGGGGCGCAGCTTGATACGACCGCAGAGGTCGAACCCTGAACAGTTGGGGCAAGTATGGACACAACATTCAAGCTTGATACAGCACTGAATTTGGATTGTAATTAAATATTTGACACAGCATAGGTTTCTGACACAGAATGAATGTGGTCTAAGAACTTAAATTTTTTTAATTTACCTTTTCAAACCATATCATTATTATTTGCTTTTGTATATAAATCAGAAATAACCAATTTAAAATGGAAAATTTTAAAGAAAAAAAAGGAAAAAAAAATCCCCCCCCCAAATTTTTTCAACCCCCTTATGATTCATCACCCCTAAACTCAATCCCAGCCTTCCCTTTGTGGTATGGTACCTTGCAGTACAATTTCAGAGAGATCCATACACTTGAACACAAGTTATTGTCTGGAAACTAGAAAAATGCTTGTTTTTTGGCCCCTTTTGGCCCCAAATTCCTAAATGTTTAGGGCAATTACCCCAAACTCAAACCCAGATTTTCCTTTGTGATATGGAACCTTGCAGTACAATTTCATAAAGATCCATACACTTACACACAAGTTATTGTCCTGAAATTAGAAAAATGCTTGTTTTTTTGCCCCTTTATGGCCCCTAATTCCTAAAATTTTATGGGAGTTACCCCCAAAATCAATCCCAGCCTTCCCTTTGTGATATGGAACCTTGCAGTACAATTTCATAAAGATCCATACACTTACACTCAAGTTATTGTCCTGAAATTAGAAAAATGCTTGTTTTTTGCCCCTTTATGGCCCCTAATTCCTAAAATTTTGAGGGAATTACCCCCAAACTTAATTGCAGCTTTCCCTTTGTGATATGGAACCTTGTAGTACAATTTCATAAAGATCCATACACTTACACACAAGTTATTGTCATGAAACTAGAAAAATGCTTGTTTTTTGCCCCTTTTTGACCCCCTAATTCCTAAAATTTGGAGGCAATTACCCCCAAAATCAATCCTAGCATTTCCTTTGTGATATGGAACCTTGTGGTACAATGTCAGAGAGATCCATACACTTACACACAAGTTATTGTCATGAAATTAGAAAAATGCTTGTTTTTGCCCTTTTTTGGCCCCTTATTCCTAAAATTTGGAGGCAAATACCCCCAAAATCAATCCCAGCATTCCCTTTGTGATATGGAACCTTGTGGTACAATGTCAGAGAGATCCATACACTAACACACAAGTTATGTCTGGAAGTTACAAAAATGCTTATTTTTGGCCCCTAATTCCTTAACTGTTGGTACCATAACCCCCAAAATCAATCCCCACCTTCATTTTGTGGTATTGAACCTTATGGTAAAATTTCATAGAGATCCATTCACTTAAACTAAAGTTAGAGTGCGAAAACCAATGTGTCTTCGGACGACGACGACAACGACGCCAACGTCATACCAATATACGACCACAAATTTTTTTTGCGGTCGTATAAAAACATGTCTCATTATTGACTGATTGATTGATGACTATAAATTTTACTGCAAATAATACATGCATATTCATGAGGATATGTTAGATGTTAATGAGTTATATATGTAAATGCTGTTTAATGCCCCCTGCTCTTTACAAGATTGACATGCTGAGCCATATTTTTTAATACGCTATCTCACAAGGTAACAGCAGGAAATCATGCTGTCATATCCTGACAAATCATTATAACTCTGGGCAAACTAGTTGTTGCTCTCACTTTGAAATGTCATGTGCTTGCACTGCTTGGTGATGTTAACCCTTACAAATGTGTGGCACTTACATAGTTTTGTTGCTTAGGCATCAAATGACCTAACAATATGGTCACCAATAGGGTTAACATATGGGTGTCTTGGATGTTATTACATAAGAGTATATGGGAAATCCATTAGAGATTAACTTCTTGGGAAAACCTGTTTCAATTAAAACCTTATGATGGTTTTCTGAGAGATCATAGACAAGAAGTAATTGCTTGAGTAACATAGAAAAGCAATGCTTCTTCAAACAGGATATTTTTCTGCAGTGTATTTGAAAACATAGACATTGCTGCATTGTGATCTATACAAGCCCATGTGAGCTTCTAGTTTCCTGTTTAGATGGGTTTTTTTCTGAACCCCAGGATGTACTATACCTTGAAAGACAAAGTAAGATTCTGATTCTGTAGATGTAACTGTTGCATTGCATGCTGCTGTTCTCTGTTTACTGCTGACTTCTCATTATTCAAATCTTCTAATCTATAAAAAAAATAATGAGGAAAATATAATGAAAACATAAAACTTTTGTAAATTTTTAACCTTTCGTTTCTATAACTAACCCTTATATACATGTAGATAAGGTTATCTGTATACTTTTCCCCCTTATGTACCAATCACTACTTTATATCAATGATATTATTCAGTTTTCACGTGGTTTTTCTGTCATAAACCCCATTGATTTAAGAGAAGTTGGGTATACAAAGAATGGACAAACAAACAAACAGATGAATGAAAGTAAGTTTAGGTATAATATTGTTACCTACAGGTATACAAGAATGATGTTGTCTTATCTTTTATATTTAGCCTATCTGTATCAAAAGGGAAATTTAGTCTTCAGGAGCATGCATAATCTAATCTCATAATGATATTCAGTCCAAAAAAAATACATTAAAACTTTGTTATTTGCACAGGTTACTTTTTCACTATTTCAATGCATAAACTTTTCATTTCTGGGTTACATTATCACATAAATATTGTTGACTTGTGCAAAATATTCACAAGGGGGGGTATTTTCCTGCATATTTTAAGTGATCTATTTAAAAAATCTATCCATGACATAGGCTCCATATGATTTTATTTTCAATGAAATCAAACAGGCAGCTATTTTAATGTTTTATCAATCAATAAGTTTTTGAAACAAAAATAAAACACTTTTGATGATAGCAGCAATCTGGAATCATGGCAGTTAATCTGTTTGGTATTATCAAACAATAAATTAAAACAAGATCCCTTCTGGATGATCATGGCCAATTCGAACTAAATTTGCTGATAAAAAGCTTTAAATGTATTTTCATATCAAATCCAATGTAAAGTTATTTTCAGCAGTGGTGGCTGTATAGTTACCTCTTCCTTAAAGCGGTTTCTTTTTCCTGTGATTCTTGTAACAATTTATTATGTCTTGCAAGTAATCTGTTGTGTTCGTCTTGTAAAAGTTCATTTTCTTGTTGAGAAGAGGTCAGACTTTCACTGAAAAACATTTGACACTTTTGATTTCACAACGATGCAGTAATTTTAGGCAATAGTTACATATTTATAGTAAGTAATTTTTTACAATACATGTTCAGCATCCCCCATATATGTTGAAGCTTTAAAATAAATAGTAAATGGAGAATAATGGTATATCCAAAACTTTATCAATGATCCCAGGAAATGTTCAATTGCAATGTTAAACAAAAGTGTATCGGATGTATTGGTAGTGATGTCATCCCTTATTGTAATGATAATGAACTGGTTTTAAAATAAAAAAAAACACTATTAAATAATACTATGACATTTCCTTTACACACAATAGGTTTTTGAAGTACATGAATTAAAACAGAAAACCTCTGAAATATAACCTATTCATCATAGCATACCTTATAGTTTGTAATTTAGTCTTCAGTTGATCAACAGCCTTTTCTAATCTTTCCCTGTAAACAGTTAAAACATAACTCATGTTAAAAAAATATTGAAAACTAGAAAATGATTTGTTTTAGAAATGCAATGGGCTGAAATTTCAAATGTCTATCAATTTTTTATTTATTCAATTTTGTACAGTTGTGGAATAAAGTATTTGCCTCAAATGCAATAAATGTTGTTTGAATATACTGGATTACAGATACAACTTAACACCAATGGGTAATGATAGAGTCTTAGTAAATCATTTCTATATTGATTGTACACAAACTTTGAGAAAAGGGTTTACTGGAAGATGGTGCTTTTTCATTGACCTTTACATTATTACATATAATTCAAATAAGATAATAAAGTCAAAAATTAAGCTTACTTCTCTAGTTTGTCCATTTCTGATACTGTTTCGGTCCTCTTTTGTTTATTCAATACACTATGAACTCTGACCTATATGAATAGTAAAATTATAAGAAAATACAAAATGAAAATTTACTTAACTGTCTTAGAAGAGAAGCTTTAAGATTCTCTAATATTCTCATAACTAATTAGTTGCAAAATTCTGTCCATCTTTTGTTTTTGGTTGATAGCCATATCACAAATATAAATAAGCTTTATATCTATATCCATATTACCCCTAGCATCCATGGTAAAACTGAATGTCTTGCACATGAAGTGAGGTGTGAGTGTTTGCTACATGTGAAAGCCCTCACAATGACTTTGAGATGAAGAACAGCAATGTCTTGTACATGCAGTGAGGTGTGAGTGTTTGCTACATGTGAAAGCCCTCACAATGACTTTGAGATGAAGAACAGCAATGTCTTGTACATGCAGTGAGGTGTGAGTGTTTGCTACATGTGAAAGCCCTCACAATGACTTTGAGAAGAACAGCAATAAAAGCTTTGGTTTTCCCAAAGAGCTTGTATAGATTTTTTATAACTTGACTTGATACACCATAATCTTTCCTTTCCATTAATTGGAATATTAAATTGGTAGTGAAACTAGGGAATATAGAACATGAGAAAAATATCACTCTTATGTAAATTTTAATTCATTTATCATTTTCATTTAATTGTATATCAAATAATTTTAATCTTTTATTTAAGACTTGACTTTGACTGTATCTACCTTATAACCATCATATTCAGCTTGTACAGTGTTTAGTTCACTGTTAGCAAGAGCGACATCATTCTGCAGTGACTGTATCCTGGTCTCAAGTGTTTTCACAGTCCTCTGACTGGATTCTGATATGGACTGGAACCTTTCTATTGCTTTCTGTTTCTCTCCTGCAACCTCAGACATTTGAACCTGTAGTTGAATTAGAACTGTTTGTTTTAGATCTATTTAAAAAAAATATTTTAATTTTTTTATTTTAAACTGATATTTATTAAGAAAGAAGATATTAAATCCGATTCAATCTGTTTAGAGAGTGCTATGATCCAGTTTGTTCAAGATACTTTCAACAACTTCTCAACAGGACCAATAGATGCATGTTGAATAACAAGCCAAACTTAACATTCCTTCATTTTTATCATAATAACTAAATAATTTTTATTTGAAGAGGGGCAGTAGGAGGGGGTGTCATCTTGAATTCCTGAACAAATAAAGCATTCTTTCCTGGATCCTGAAAATTATGGAGTCCTTGTAAGTGTAAATCCTGAATTCCTGCAAAAAATAAAGGCTCAATCCCGAATTCCTGTAAAAGGTCCTTCTGCCCCTCATTATAAAAAATTATACCCAAGCTAGTTAATTTTTTTGATACATACACAAGAATTCTATCACATAAGTTTCAATAATGTACAAGTAATATGTTCTAACCTTGTAGTCTTCTATTTGTTGATTGAGGTGTTCTAACTGTCCACGTAACTGTGCATCAGATGTCTTCTGGTGAGCATCCTGAAAAACATCAAAAAATTATACACAAAACTGAATGCATTTACCAAAATCTTTGTAATTTGGTATTTTCTGAGACTTATCACAAAAAAATGCAAAATTTACATAAAACTTAAGATGCAGAATATGACTTAAAGGAGATGATGAGTATATAATAGCATTTCTTCTTTAATATATTCAATCAACAGTGAATTTAAAAATCATCAAACCTACTAGGCTAACTGAAATGTTGATGGATGCTATAGTCATAATGAACCATTGTATTGAATTTTACAAAAACAGGGTCCATTAACTTCAGGACTTTCAGTTCTGCAGTTCCAAAGATGCCTCATAATTTTATACAATATATCAAGCAGCTATCATTATATTTTATCTTATTAAAAATAAATACCATTTTTTTAGCATCACTCAATTCCTTCTTGGTTTTCACAAGCATGGTTTTCATTTTATTTGCTCTATCATCTGCCTGAATTCTCTGTTCATCAACAGAATCTGTAAAAGAAAAAATGAGATTCAATAATAGCGTCAGCACATAAAGATGGTTTATGAACAGATCATTTATAACAAATGCAGGGCTCACACTAGCGGGCGACTGGGGCGATGAAGTTGCTTTCCCGTCTGTCACTTCTCTTTGCCTGACCATCAAAAGCAATATTTAGTCTCCCCCATGTTCATAATAGTTGCCTTTACTCGTTTTCGTCATCAGCAATTTTACATTATTACCAAGTCCATAAAACAGCAATTTTTCATTTATAAGTAAAGAAATTCAAAAACATAAACTATATTTCTTTAGAAAAAAGGTGAAAGCATTGACTTTACAGATTGGTCATATGTTATTTCAAGCAAACAACTTTATTTGAAGTATTTTCTTTCACTTCTGGTACTTGTTCCTCGAGAGCGAGCATCAAAACATTCGGATTTTCAGCAAAAAAAGTTTGTTACTTCATTAGAACTTGATGAAAATTTTCTTTAGTTTTTAACGTTTCATCCATTTATTGCATTAAAAGCATCATATTCCTTTCCAAATTGCTTGTCAAAAATATTTATTTTCGTACATTTTCCTTCGTCCATCATTGAAATATTTGTACAAACCACGGATACGAGGCGGTATTCATCGGAAGCGGATCAGCTATGACCGAAATCTGTATTCTTATGATAATAACCACAGACGCACAAATGGCACAGCTGACAGAGGAGTAATGATCCCAAAAGGAAAAATTACACATTCCAAATGCAGACTTTTGGTTAGATCTCCTTGCTTAATGTATATATTTCCAAGTAAATGCATTGTTTCAATTTATATTGATTAAAGTTGTTTAACTTTGTTTAATTTGTATATCTTTTTAATGAGAAAAATGAATTTCATAAACAAGATAAACAGAATAGTTTTTTAATTGAATTTTAATTGATAATAATGATATATGATACTTTCTTTTCCTTTTTGATATAAAAAAGTTCTTTTAGTGCTAGATATTTAGTTGGTAGTTTCTGACAAGAGGAAAAATATAATTGTGTAACTATAAATAATGTAAACTATAATTTAAGACAAATGTTACTTTAATTGTATTCTAGGTAAGATTTGAACAATATAAAAAATATAAAATAAATAGGATGCATATGGCCCTTTATATTATTGTAAAAACCAAACATTGTAGCGATTGAAAGAGCACTTCTCTTTCAAGTCTCACCACTTCTCCTTATCAGTTTCAAAAAGAGTAGTCAATTCTCCCTATGATTATGAAATAGTGTAAGCCCTGCAAATATATCACTGAACTCATGCCATTACTAAAGCAGCACTAGCTACTGGCAAGGTGGTTTCCATGAGGTCAAATTGTAAACACAGACATAGATGTCAGGTGGTATTCTTGGGCTCAAAATATTACCCTCAGCACAAAAGCAATGCCCTTAAACAATGTTTATTTTTGGAAAATGACGCTATCAGCGGCATGTTTCCGATACCATTGACCAGAACTAACGGAAGTTGATTATGCCTCCGCCTACCGCACTCGGTTTCATATTTACTATTTTACATACTATTACTAACTGGAATCTGCTTGTATTACGCTACACTCGAACAAAGTGTTGTAGTCGGACGGGAACCAGTTTACATACGTTATTTTATTTACCAAAAAGATATCTTGACCTGTCCATATGTTTTTTGTTATTAAATGGTATTTGGAGCTATCCCTTTGTTATATATTTCATATGTATTCGAGCTTTCACTTGTATGCACATGTCATACAATCGTAAACAATCGGTATGTATACATGATAAATAGATCCGTTTTGTTATGGTGTTGGACTTTTTACCCTCCAATGATCAGCAATCGCTAGACAAAATAGTTCTCCTAAATAATGTCAGCCTTTCATGCCATTTCAACTTTACAATCATTAATAAAGTAATAATCGGAATCATTTTGATATCCATTGGATAGAAACTGGTCTTTATCCAGATTTACGAAGATTTTAATAATCGGAAATTAGTAATACGGTTATACCCACGCGGTGCGTATGAATCTTTGTTTACAAAGTTATAGCAGCAGAGTCTGTAACTGTATCATTATTAGTTAACTACACTGTTATTGTACTTAATATGATGAAAACTGCATATGCAATATAAGATGTCAACTCGGCCAATACAGATTTTTTTTCCGTATTGGCCGAGTTCTGATCCGGCCAAAACAGGATTTCAGGACGTCTCTAGTTTTTAGATCGTAAGTCAGGATAAACTCAAACTGAAAGTAAACAGTTGTTTGTACGACGCAGTTTTTATTTACTCACCATAAACAAGCTGAAACGTTCAGTATGGCATATATTTTAGGTTAAAGACGGTCCCATTCATTTGAAAAGCATTTTGAAAGTAGACGATGGAATTATTTCAGGTTTGGGGAACGAGTAAATTATCACAAAGTTCATTTCTTGACGACCTCATAATTTCATCATGTCGATGGTACAAATCGATTTTTACTGATTACTTTCGCTTCTCATGTTTTGTAAACGGTCTTTTATTTTTAAACCCGAACCAGGCATATGCATTCTGTAATTGCGCAAATCTTCGTTCTTTGGTCAATTGGCTTATGGATAGTTGTATCAATTTCAACTCTTACATTATTTTTTTTAAAAATATATTTGCATTACACATGCAATGGCAGTACCTTTCCAATTACTATTTATGTGTTGTGTCTAAATTAAAGTTGTAACACTTTATAGTGACTGGAAAGGGTAGAAAAATTCATCAGATGAGAACAGGCTGAAGATACATGGAAACGGCACCAAATCATAAGATATTGCATCTTATAAAAAGAAACTGAGATTTGGATAGTTCCACTTCAAGGTAAAAATGTTTATCTCTTGTGAAATGAAATAAAAAAATATTGTAACACTGTAGTTAATTAATAAAGATACTATTACATGTATTTCTGTATTGGCCTTATTGTTGGTCCTCGGCCAGCAGTACACCAAGACATGGACCAATAACAAGGACAATACAGAAATACTTACACAATAATATTATAGAATGACAGTATGGTTCAATAGCGGGAATCAGCCCCTCAACTACTTTTTACATAAATATTAACTTCTGGCTTCAACTCCTTGTTCGTCTTGTCTGGAGATCTTGTTGTAGTTCCAGTTAGGCAAGCATTTTGGAGACGTATCCCGTCCATCCTCTCTTCACTTGTAATTTCTGGTGATAGATTTTGCCGCTTGACGTTGAATCCTTTCAAGCTTGTTTTTTTTTGTTACCGTGTAGGGGTCCCATACTATGGCTCCATATTAAATTGTAAGATCCATTCCTAAAGGTCTAGATCATTGTTCTAATCTGACACAAATTTCAATAACTGGAATGCTACCCAAGTTGAATATATGGTGACTTACTAGAACAGCATTATCACTATTGAAATTGTGTTTAATACCATGATTGTTCAATGTCATTAACTTAAATGGAGACAGACATTTGACCTGAAAGGTGGTGTGGGAGTGCAAAATCAAAAACTAACTGACTATGATACATGTATATGGTTAAAGAATGAATATCAATTACATGGGTCAACATGGTCAAGGGCAGAGTTGTTATGAAATAACAATATGGCAGAGAAGTGGTTTCAAGTTTCATATAAAGCGACCTGACTGACATGAAATAAAAAATCAAAGGAGTATCCCTATTTGTCTAATCTTCAAGGTGAAATAAAACTAGTAAAACAATATTATACTATTGTCTAAATCTACAGAAATATAATTTGCTTCAAGTAACAGAAATAACTAGGTCACTAGTAACTTATTTAATGAGTATATGTATGTGGGGTATAAGAGCTTGATAACAACAGGCTCTTCATAATCATTTGGTTTGAAAAGGATACTAGTAGTCTATATTCTTGATTTAGAAAAATGTAATTGCAAGACAAAAATCACATTATTTAGAATACTTTAGATCATTCAGGTAGTCTTTATTTATATGTACAAAAGAACAGCCAGTAGTCATTGGATATTGTAGATCATTCAAATAGTCTTGACCTATTTATTAGTACAAAAGAACAGCCAGTAGTCATTGGATATTGTAGATCATTCCGGTAGTCTTGACCTATTTATTTATAGAAAAAAAACAGCCAGTAGTCATTGGATACTGTAGATCATTCAGGTAGTCTTGACCTATACATTTGTACTAAAAAAACAGCCAGTTGTCATCTTCACATAACACACACATATACGAATATCAATTATATGCTTACGAGACATGTTGGAATGTTAAACTAATTACGGTATGTGAAAATCAAGACTTGCATAAAAAATATCACAATATTAGAGACAGTGGCGTCATTTTTCCTCAGAGCTTTCAGCTCTTTGATTGTGCAAATACCAAAGACTATATAGCAGTAAAATTGATATATTACTTTAGTTTGTGAAAAAAGGTCCTGAATGAAAAACTTTATCACTCAAGCGAAAATTGTAGGAAAAATAACTAATTCCCAAAACTTTTTGTACTATGAAAGATAATTGTACTGGTGAAATATTATTTTCATGGCAAGGCATAAAATAACTTTTTAACTTTGAACAGTGTATTATTATATGTAAATCTAAAAATATTGATACAATGCCACATTACAGTGAAAGTTGTTTAACTATTAATAATCAAGTGATACAATTTTCCACATGCGAAAGTCTCTTAATCATTAAAATTGACCCTTCCCTCACATGGACAAACCAAATTGATTTGATCTGCTCAAAAATTTCATCTAGGCTATATCTACTATTAAAGATAAAAGAAATTTCTAAATCTAGAATGCAGAAAATTATTCTATAATGGTTATATCTTACCACTAATTGATTATTGTTGTATAGTGTGGAGTAGGTGTAGCAATTAGGGTTTAAATAGGATATTAAAATTACAAAAGAGAGCAGCTAGAATAATACTAGAAACAGACCCTTTTGCTCCTTCTGAGTCCTTATTCAACCGCTTAAACTGGATGACAGTTGAACAGAGAATAAAATATCATAAGTTTGTGATGACATTTAAGTGCATCAAAAATTATGTCCCATCATATCTTACTGGCAAGTTTCATTATGTTTCAGACATAAATCCATACCCCTTGAGAAATGTTGTTCAAGGAAACCTCATACTCCCTAAACCAAAAATAGAATTGTTCAAGAAATCTTTTATGTATTCTGGACCATTCTTGTGGAACAATTTGCCAATATCGTTACGAAATATTACAAATGTTAATTCTTTCAAATACAAAATAACAGATCATTTATTGAAATCAACCAGTTGAAAAAATATTGAATATTAATTATTTCTTCATGTTTATTTTTTCATAACATTTTATGCAGTGTACTGAACATTATCATTACACTTGACTTTTATACTAATGTATGCCATGTATATGTTTGCTTTTTGTTTCTGCTTTTTTCTATGATGAGGGCCTCAGGGAAGATTAGTTACATAGCTAACTGTGTAACCCTCTCTAAATAAAGTATTGTTGTTGTTGTTATTTCATCCATTTGTGCCTTAATTTGCTATAAAGATCAAACCCTATATCAACATCGACATACACTTGATTAACACTGACATTAACTTCATTATAAAAAGATGAAGAAAATTACTTTTTAATGACTGACTATTCAATGTTACCAGCATATTCAGGTACCTTACTCAAATTCATAACTCCGGCAAAAGTAGATATGTTACACTGGCTCATGAAGATAGATATTTATACACAAAAACAAACCTATCTGTTCTTTCAACACTTTATTTCGATCTTCTAATCTTTTGACCTCTATCTTTAACTCAGTGAGGGAGTGGTCACGTTCCACGAGTTGACTGTTCAATATCTGCACAGTCCTTTCATAGTCAGCCATTTCTAAGTCCATCATACTACTTTGTTTACTTTCCTAAATTGTGAAAAACAATATTAACTTTCTTTTGGCAAAAAAATCATTGTTGTTTGTTGTTGTTTGTATGTCTGGTTTTTTTCCAGAGGAGTCAGGTGTTGTTGGTATTGTGCAGCATTTTCAGTGATTGCTGTAATTCCTTTTCATTTATTATAATACTACAGGAAGTTAATATCAGTCCTTTGAAATAAATCCCCATTAACATATAGTAATATTTTTAAACTAAAAAATTATTTAATGTAAAATTTTAAAATAAAATTTGAAGATGTCTTAAGAAGTGGTACTTTCTTAAAGGATACTATCCCTATTAAACCAATTTGGATCAATTGTTTCGTACAAACTAATTTTCGGTCCACTTCCACTAAATTTTGTCATGCACTATAATGTATTAGTTAGTTTTACTTTGTATTAAGAATTTACCGACATTTCTTGTACAAAAGTTGAGAATAATATAATAGGAGATACTCACTTGTTTAGCCATTTGCAACTCCTTTTCCATTATCTGTATCTGTTGCTGTAAACCACTGATTTGTTCTGAATGTTTCTCTTGATCTTTCTTTCTACTTTCTTCTAGTTCTGACATAGCTGCTTGAACCTTAAATAAATAAAAGATTATCCTTTAAAGATTTTAAATGTTTTTGAGCAAAGGACTCGGAAAATAAGGACAATAAGAATGATATAAGATCTAGTGCTGATCATAATATGTAAAATATATGACCTTTACAATAAATGTTCTTCCAACAAAAATGCATAGAATTCATCGGGGGACATATGACAAAGAAATGCAACCCATAATATATAAGTATAAGGTAGTGCAATTTGTCAAGCATGAACTATCTGCATGGACCTAAGGGTGGATTCTTTACGTCAACTCAGCAAATAATGGCTACATCATGACAAGATGGCAGTTCTGAAAATGTATCAAACAGTACCACTAACCTATCTGAAGTGTGGCATAAAAAATACAGATAACCGAAGAGAAAAATATGACAACTTTTTTATTGTTTTTATCTGCTCTTTAAGATGTATGATATCTAATTCATTGCATGTTATAACTAACCTAGATGAAGCCTCTTATCAAAATCAACAAGTTGTTATTTGGTTGTTGAAAAAAATGTGATGGAATTTTGTATACCTGCATAACATTCAGTGTACACATCTTTAACAAGAGGTATACATGTATATGTAAAACAGAAAGTAGATCTGAAAATGTATCGCACTGTATAGCTAAGAATGAGGCAAATATCAAGAAGTTATCATTTGTAGTTGAAAAGAAAAATGCAGAAGAAAACCCTTCTAAATGAAAATGTGTTCTTAGTTTCAAGCTGATTTGCCTTCAGCTTCATGGTAAACTACCTTGACCAACAACTTTAACATGATGATGTATGGACAAATGGAATTTTGACAAATAAACAGAAGCACAGACTAGAATACATAATGTCCCACTAATATCATAGGTGGGGAATGAAAACATGATGTAGCTAACTAGATGGAGTTTGAAATCAAATAACAGATACAGTATGATGGTTTGGCCTAAATATACACAGCCAAAATGGCTAAAATAAACAAGTATACTCTCCTCCCTTCAAAGTGGAATTTTAAAAAAATATGCAGGCTAAGATGAGTCTTTTCAATTTTCTTGAGGTTCATAACTTGTTCATACCTTCAGAATAACAAGGAACTGAAAAATCTGTGTTTACATTTAAATAAAAAATACCTGTTGCTTTTCTTTAGATAATTCTTCTCTCTGGATTTTGTTTGCCACATTGTCTTGTTCTGTTGCTTTTAATTTGACACTTAGATCAGTAATACTGGCTTCTGATGTCTATAGTTAACAGAATTATTATCTTAGCTACATCATTTTTGTTCATTTGACAGAATAATTACATTCTATATTTAACATTTTAAAACAGTTCAAGCAACATCAGTTCACAGTTTGAATTTTTACTATTTTTTCCTTTGATTTATCAACCGTAGATTTGTATTGTTTTCTTTATATTAGGAACTAACGGAAAATAAGCTCTATAGGTGTTATCTCTGTGACCCTCTTAAAATAAAGTATTTGTTTACTTACAAATCATTAGTTATCAATGTGAAACAAGTCAAATTTCGGGCAACTACTGCTTACCTTTAAATCTGAGGTCAGTTTTTCAATTTTTTTATTTAACTGTTCTTTTTCATCTTTTGACAAAGCAAGTTGTTCTTTAAGATTTGATAAATCATGAACTGTCTTCTGCAAGTCTGCTTCAAATTCCTCTTCAGTTTTCTTAGCCTTATGAAGCTCTTCCAAAGTTCTACTGTGTTCATCTTGTAGTGTCTGTAAGAATATTATTGCCTTATGATACCAACATTGTTTTTTTAACAAAGCAAACATAAAGAAATAAAATGATCTGCTGGGCGCAGCTTGATACGACCGCAGAGGTCGAACCCTGAACAGTTGGGGCAAGTATGGACACAACATTCAAGCTTGATAAAGCACTGAATTTGGATTGTGATTAAATATTTAACACAGCATAGGTTTCTGACACAGAACGAATGTGGTCTAAGAACTTAAATTTTTTTATTTACTTATTCAAACCATATCATTATTATTTGCTTTTATATACATATATATAAATCAGAAATAACCAATTTAAAATGGAAAATTTTAAAGAAAAAAAAAGGAAAAAAAGGAAACCCCCCCCCCCCCAAATTTTTTGAACCCCCTTATGATTCATCTTCCCCAAACTCAATCCCAGCCTTCCCTTTGTGGTATGGTACCTTGCAGTACAATTTCAGAGAGATCCATACACTAACACATAAGTAATTGTCCTGAAACTAGAAAAATGCTTGTTTTTTGCTCCTAATTCCTAAAATTTTGAGGTAATTACACCCAAAATCAATCCCAGCCTTCCCTTTGTGGTATGGTACCTTGCAGTACAATTTCAGAGGGATCCATACACTTGAACACAAGTTATTGTCTGGAAATTAGAAAAATGCTTGTTTTTTGGCCCCTTTTTGGCCCCTTTTTCCTAAATGTTTTGGGCAATTACCCCCAAACTCAATTCCAGCTTTCCCTTTGTGAAATGGGACCTTGTACTACAATTTCAGAAAGATCCATACACTAACACACAAGTTATGTCTGGAAGTTACAAAAATGCTTATTTTTGGCCCCTTTTTTGGCCCCTTATTCCTAAAATTTTGAGGCAATTACCACCAAAATCAATCCCAGCATTCCTTTTGTGATATGGAACCTTGTGGTACAATGTCAGAGAGATCCATACACTAACACACAAGTTATGTCTGGAAGTTACAAAAATGCTTATTTTTGGCCCCTTTTTGGCCCCTAATTCCTTAACTGTTGGTACCATAACCCCCAAAATCAATCCCAACCTTCCTTTTGTGGTATTGAACCTTCTGGTAAAATTTCATAGAGATCTTTTCACTTTAACTAAAGTTAGAGTGCGAAAACCAATGTGTCTTCGGTCGACGATGACGACGACGACTACGCCAACGTCATACCAATATACGACCGCAAAATTTTTTTGCGGTCGTATAAAAATTACCTGATATTTAGAAGAAAATAAAAATTTTGCAATTTTTCCATTTATAAAGGGGCATAACTCTAGAACGGTTAAAGTGACCCCACCAAAATTCAAACTTGATCTGTGTTTTGTGGTAATAAGCATTGTGTATAAGTTTCATAACAATTGGATGAGGCAAACTTAAGTTAGAGAATGGAAACTAAAAATTTTGCAATTTTTCCATTTATAAAGGGGCATAACTCTAGAATGGTTTAAGTGACCCCACCAAAATTCAAACTTGATCTGTGTTTTGTGGTAATAAGCATTGTGTATAAGTTTCATAACATTTAGTTGAGGCAAACTCAAGATAGAGAACGGAAACCAATTTTGGGACGTGCGGATGAACCTACGTGCGTACAGATGGACAAGGGTAAAACTTAATGCCCCCACCACTACGGCGGGGGCATAAAAATATATTAAAGGCACCTCCTGGTCTGTATCACTCACTTTATGAACATTACTATTCATTGGCTTTCTTAATAATCGGATCTAAATTATACAATAGGACCAAGTTTAATCTAGTTAAAGAATAGATGCAGAAGTGTCAAAACTTTAACAACAGTTTGAAACCTACTGTGGATTCATTAATTTTCGTGGGTACCAATTTTCGTGGATTAAGGAAAACTTACATGTTCGTGGATATTTGATTTCGTGGTTGAGTCGAAGTCTGCATACAAGCCTATTGAAAATTTGTTATTCGTTGAACATTTAATTTTGTGGCTCACCTGTACCCACGAAATCCACGAAAATTGGTATCCAACTAAAAATAATGAATCCACAGTATATGAGTTTTGAGTTATCTTTTATAGCTATCACCTAATCTCGTTAAGGATATATCCTTTGTTCAAGCAGTTTTCTGACCCTTTCATTACCATTTTTTGTTAAAATAGCTCTGAACAGATTTGAACACTTCTTGTTAGAACAACTTGTAATAAAATGCTTCTCTGAGCGCAGCCTGATACGACCGCAGAGGTCAAACCCTGAACAGTTGGGGCAAATTTGGATACAATATTCAAGCTTGATACTGTCTGAATTTGGATTGTGATCAAATTTTTGACATAATATAGGTTTCTGACACAAAATAAATGTGGTCAAAGATCTTATAAATCCATTGCCCAATACTGTGCAATTGAAGATTTCTTCTTGAAACTTTTCAAAAATTCGAAATTTTAAAAATTTTGAAAAAAAATATGAATCCCTTAAAAAAATTGGGAAAAAAATCCCCCCCCCCCACTTTTTGAAACCCCCTTTGGAGCAATAACCCCAAAACTCAATCCCAGCCTTTCCTTTGTAGTATGGAACCTTGTAGAGATCCATACACTTACACACAAGTTATTGTCTGGAAACTAGAAAAATGCTTGTTTTTGGCCCCTAATTCCTACATAATTGGGGCAATTAACCCCAAACTCAATCCCAGCCTTCCCTTTGTTATATGGAACCTTGTGGTACAATGTCAGAGAGATCCATACACTTACACACTAGTTATTGTCTGGAAACAAGAAAAATGCTTGTTTTTGGCCCCTTTTTGGCCCTTAATTCCTTAGCTGTTGGCCCCATAACCCCTACAATGAATCCAAACCTTTTACTTGTGGTATTAAACATTGTGGTACAATTTCAGAGCAATAGAAATACTTATACACAAGTTATTATCCTGAAACTAGAAAAATGCTTGTTTTGGGCCCCTTTTAGGGCCCCTAATTCCTAAACGGTTGGGACCATCATCCCCAAAATCATTCCCAACCTTCCTTTTGTGGTATTGAACCTTCTTGAAAATTTCATGGAGATCCATTCACTTAAACTAAAGTTATTGTCCGGAAACCAATGTGTCTTCGGACGACAACATCATACCATTATACGATCCCAAAAAATTTTTTGCGGTTGTATAACAAGAATCAGTGACCATATAACATCATGCCCTACTATTACTAAATTTCTATGTTAAGAGAACTGTGACATTGGGGTGAAAACTCCAATTTGGTATTTAATTAGAATAGTTCACATCATCATGAACATGAGTATTAAGTTTGAAGTTGATGTGACTATAACTTCATGGTGAACTACAATAACCAAATATTAACATGAGAATGTACTGATTCCACTATATCATGGTCAGTGAACCCTGAAATCAGGGTCAAAACAATAACTTGGCATATAATTTTAAAGTATACATTACAGTGAACAAGCATAGTAAGTTTCAAGTTGATGTGACCACAACTTAATGGTAAACAAACTTAACCTGTATTAGTTTACAGGTTACCTACTTTAAGAGTATCCATCAGCTGTTTATCAGCATCCTGATCTTTCCTCAAGTTATCCAGTTGACTCTGAAGGTTTTCTTTTTCCTTTACTACAGATTCATACTGGGTTTTCATAGCATCATGCTGAAATACATATGTAAAAAATGTAGAAAGAAATTCAGCACTGATTTCTTATTCAACTACAATAACCTTACAGTAAGTTAAGCCTTAGTGAAAATATTGTGTATATCTACTAAAATGATATATTGCATGAATAAAAGGAGATATGGGACAAATATCAATGAGACAGCAACCCTTCAACACAACAAAGACATCTAAAGTCTCAGTATCCATATAAGACTTTCATGGAAATTTAATGATAAACAAAAATAGAACCAACAAAGCTTACAGAACATTTGATTTGTTTCAAAGTTTTCAAAAGTGTTTTAACAAACAAAAATTCGTAAGGGTTCCGCGGAACCCAGTGTCTCGGCTACTTTTTCTGTTAATCGCAGGCTCAACTAAAATGAGGAAGTAAATCAATAAAAATATTCCTCTTGATACTATCTTTTGATTGTAAGAAGCTTCTGTCCAAGTTTGGTAAAAATCCAGGATAGTTTATGAATCTAATAAATGTTTAAAAACTTTAACTGTAGACTGAATGTAATGTTAACTGGAAGAAAACAAAATTTCCTTCTAGATACTAGCATTTGATCATAAACAAGCTTCTGTCCAAGTTTGGTACAAATCCAAAATAGTATAAGAAAGTTATTAAAATTTTAAAAACTTTAACCACAGAGTGAATATGTTGTTTCCTGGCAGAAAATCTAAGTCCATTTTAAAGTTTCCTGGCAGAAAATCTAAGTCCATTTAAAAGTAAAATACGGAAAAAATGGATTTTTTTTTTTAATTTCCTTCTAGATACTATTTTATGATCATAAACAAGCTTCTGTCCAAGTTTGGTACAAATCCAAAATAGTATAAGAAAGTTATTAAAATTTTAAAAACTTTAACCACAGAGTGAATGTGTTGTTTCCCAGCAGAAAATCTAAGTCCATTTAAAAGAAAATAAGGAAAAAATGGATTTATTTTTTTACAAAATTTACTTCTAGATACTATCTTATGATCATAAACAAGCTTCTGTCCAAGTTTGGTACAAACCCAGGATAGTTTAAGAAAGTTATTAAAATTTTAAAAACTTTAACCACAGAGTGAATGTAATATTTCCCGGCAGAAAAACTAAGTCCATTTATAAGTAAATCATTCTTATATCCCGCAATGGTGGTAAGTCATGCACTTAAGGCCATTTTTTATTTAATTTTTCTGTAGACTTTGCTTTGTTTTTTTATTACTGTGTATTGTCAAGCTTGGTTACACATAATGGTTTCTTGGTCACTGAATGTACGATGTTGTTCCATACTGCAGCAGCTGACCCGGTTTGTTTACATTCAAATTCTAATGGCTTCAAAACCACGTGACACATTGAATCGTTATATCCAATCAAATTGCTCTACTGTCAATTAGGTGATTTTTTAGTACAAGGCAATTATATTATTTGTTTGTATGATATTGCTTTGAAATAGTTTGCAATAAATTGGGGGTTTATTCAATAGGAAACCTCATTATTAGCCATGAAATTTGAAATCAATGGAATTTTATATGAATATTTACTTATGGTCAGAATATCGATCTCTTTATTTTGAACCAAATTTTTTTTTTATGAAAAATATATGTATATTGTTTTTTATTAACCTACTCTATATTCCTGAAAAGAAATATGGCATGATTATCGTTTGTTTCCCAAAGTTTTTCTTTCAATTTGGATGGTTTTTTTTCCCCGGGAAAATCGTGTAAGACGTAAGGTGCTTGCCATTTTGAAATTCTTAAAAATACGATTTGCTTGGCCTGTTTGGTCTGCCATTAAGATTGATGGCGCTTAATGGAATGAAAACAAAGCAATGGAGGCTGGAAGAGGGATTTTCTGAAGTTCTGGAATGTTTTTAGGCATTCGGAAGTCAGGTTCGAAACGGCCATTAGAAAATTGGCATTTTTGTACAATACTTTAGAATAACAATGAAAACATATCTTAAGAAATGTTTGTTTATTTAGAAGAGTACAAAAAAGTATTCTGCACTAATTTTGTACGCTGGTATTACCGTAGTGACATCAATGCGGAGTTTTTCCGTGTGATAAGTACAATAACAAAGTCCGAACGAACCGACCTGATGACCGATTATAGACTACGGTAGGATACATTTTTTTTTTAAATTTATACCAAGAATCAAGAACTAATACACAGTATAACTTTAAAGGTTCGTTTGATCTCAGTTCTTCATTGGTCAGACTTCAATTATGACGTCAAATTTCTTTCTTTCCTCTAAATTTGCTATTTTGACCTCACAAAAAAAGATGACCTTGCCTGATGACATCACATATCAAGAACAGATCAGTGAAAAAGTTTGTCTGCATATTGTCTGTAAATCATTAGAGAAACAGTTTACACCATTCAATCTTGTACAATACGATATTTTTCCACTGTCAACATTTAAATTTTCATTATTTAAAAATATAACTAAGCATCCATTTTAAATTTGAAAATTTAACTGTCTCGAGTGGAGAAATATTGTATCACTTGATGTAGAATCTATACATATATACATTAAGGGTAGTTTAAACCGTTTCTACTACATTTCAATACATTGTAGTGAAAAATAATTAGCAAAAAAAACCACGAAGGACCCCTACTATTGTACTATTCACCTTAAATCTATTAAACTATCACTCTTTTGATATGAATCAGAGATATTTGGCACAGAAAAAACAGTATATGCATTGTTTGTCCTTCAATTTATCATTCTTTAATCCACTTGTATGTTTAACAGATGAAAAGAATAAAACACTAGTAAGAGTGAGAAGCTTGGAAATTCCAAACAAACTCAAGTAAATTTTCAGGACTACTGTTGGGTCTCTAAGATGTCTTTAATCTTGCTGGTGTTAGATTTTTATGGCCTGCACACACGTGAACCTTTTTACTTAGACTAGGAACATGAGTTAGAATTATAGTTACCTTGTTTTTTAATTCTGTTGCCTCCTTCTTACATTTGACAACCAACTGTTTAAGCTTTGTAATAATTGCTTCTTTTTCCTGTAGTGTCTTCTCTAATACCCCTTTTTCAGTGGATACCTGAAAAATATTAAATCTTCTTAATGTCATAATGACGAATGTTAAAAATAAATATACTTTTTTGTTTTGAAATAGTTTGTATGTGTAGTGTGTGCACAAGATTTAAATGAAAATTCAAATTAAAAGTTATATTTCTTAAAACAGAAGTCAGTTAAAGATGAAGGTATTTCTCATATTTCTTACACTCTGAATTGATGTGATTATAAAGGAACTTGAAATCAATGCACTCCATTAGATGTTGTTCCTCTTGTGTACCCAGACCATGTTTTTGTTAAGGACAGTTTATATAAACAATTACACATTACATAGAGGACGCCGTGTACACAATTTATTTAGTTACACAATAAGGGAAAATCCAAGGCCAAAATTCCACTTAACCCCATAGATGCCCTTAACTTTGATTCTCATTCAGCATGTTCAGTGATTCATTTTCAATTTTTAATATTTTTTAAGGATTTCCATATGGTATGTACTGTGGATTCATTTTGATTCTTGGGATACCAATATTAATGGATTTTGTGGGTAGAGGTCAACCACTAATTTAAATGTTCAAAAAAGTATAAATTTTCTATAGGTTTGTATGCAGACTTCAGCAAAAAGACCCCTACTCTAATACTATAAATGTCAATTTAACCAAGAACATATCCAATCACAATAAGAATTTATATAACCTTTGCATGCATGACTTAATCATTCATGCATATGGATACAAAATGGAAATTACACATTTAAATACCATAAAATGCATTTATTCATTTCCTTATTATTATTCTTTAAACATTTATATTTTACCTGGCTTGTCTGTTTTACTTCATTTTCTTTCATTACACTTAGTTTTTCCTCAACTTGTGCCTTTTCAGTCTGAACATGAATAACTTTTTCCTCTACTTGCACCTTTTCAGTCTGAATCTGAATCACTTTTTCCTCTACTTGTGCTTTTTCAGTCTGAATCTGAATCACTTTTTCCTCTACTTGTGCTTTTTCAGTCTGAATCTGAATCACTTTTTCTTCAAGAGTAGTACATTTCTTCTGTAGTTCTTCCATTTCTGTTTTTATTTCATTGTTTTCATGATTTACTTTATCAAGTTTATCTTTCACTGATTGTATTTCACTAGAATACTGTTCACTAGTGGTGTCCTTTTCTTGCATCAGTTGTTCACTTTGTACTTTTATTACCCTGGATTCATCTTCTTGTTGATCTATCACCCTTTTAAGATTCTCACATTCTTCATTTTTAATTTTATACTGTTCATTAATTTCATGATACAGCTGTTCAACTTCTAGCTTTTCATTGGTTAATTTTTCTAACTGAACTTTGACATTTTCAACTTCCTGTTCCGTGGTAGATGTACCTTCCTTCATGGATAACAGTTCTGATTGCAAATCCTCACACTGTTTTAAGTTTTGATTATTTTCTGCCTCTAATGAGGTTCTCTGAGCAACAGTTTCATCAAATTTAGTTTTGATATTATTCAATTCCATTTCTAATTTTTCTATTGCAGCCATTTTTTCAGACATTTCTTTTTCTAACAAATCTTTTTCTTTGGCAACTGCAATCATTTCTTTCATAGCTTCTTCATTTTGGGAAGTGGAACTCTTGAGAACAGTTATTTCACTTTGCAAGAGTTCTTTGTCTTCTTCAAACTTTTTCAAGCTACTCTGAACATTTTTGTTTTCTTCTAACTGAGAATTCAAATTTTGCTTCAAACCCTCATTCAAAACTTTGAGTTCTTGAATTTCAGTATCACAGCCTATAAGCTTATCATTTAATTGATCACAAGATGCTTTCAAATTTTGATTTTCAGCAGACAACTTTTCAATATCCTGTTTGAAAAGTGTCACAGTCTGGCCCCTTTCCTCTACTTCCTGTTTCAGTGACAGCATATCCTCGGACTTTTCATCTACAACCTTTTGCATTTGTTCTATTTGTGACTCCCTTTCTTGAACAACACTATAAAACTGATTTCGCTCTTCTTTAAGTTTGTTAATTCTCGACTCAAATTGAGTTATTGTCTCATTTTGAGAAGACTCATTCCCAGACTTACAATTTGCTAATTGATTTGTTAAACTTTCAATGTCCTCCTTAAGTGAAGAGCTTTCATGTTCAAGATTTGCTTTCAATGTTTGTAAATTTTTATTTTCATCTATAAGGTTTTCTTTTTCTTGTACAAGGTTTTCTTTTTCTTCCATAACTGTTTTGAACTTCTCATTTTCTTCATTAATTTCTTCTTTCACTTTTGATATTTCTAAATTATGAATTTCCTGTAAATTGTTCAATTCTTTCTTTATATTTTCAGTTTCATTTTGCACATTCTTTTTTTCCTCTTCAATTAGTTCTAAATTTTGTTTCATTTCATTGATGGTTTGATCTTTAGAAGCAAGCTCAGACTCAACAGAAGATTTCAAAGAGAAAAGTTTTTCTTCGGTTTCATTTAATGTTTCTCTAAGTTTAGAAACAGCATTCCTTTCCTCTTCTAAATATTTTTCAATATTTTCCTTCTCAATTTTCAATTCTTCCAATGAGTTTGACAATTCTTTGGTGATTTCATCTTTATCTGACTGTAATTTTTTCAAGGAGTCATCTTTTTCACCAAGTTTCAAAGAAATCTCTTCTTTTTCTGAATTAAATGCTTCAAGTCTTAACGTAAGATCTGATAATTCTGTTTTTAAAGTAGAATTTTCACTGGAAATCATTTCCATTTCTTCTTGCAATGAGGATTTTGAACTTTTTTCATTAGATTCTAAAGTAGATAAAGATTCTTCAAACTTTCTTTTATTTTCAGACAAATTCTGTGACATACTGAGTAATTTTTCTTCAAGTTCTTGAGTATATGATTGTCTTTCATTTAATTTTGAATCAAGTTCCTTTTTTATTTTACTGAGACCTCCATTTTCTTCCTTTAAACTTTGGATCTGACTTTTTAAATCTGCTATTTCTGTTTTGCTTAATTCAACAGAATTCATCATTTCCGAAATTTGTTTTTCATTGCCCTCAATATTAGATTTCAACACTGAAATTTCTTCTGTTTCATCTTTTTCCTTTTCCTGAGCAAGTTGCACAACAACACCCAGTGATTCCTTTTCCCTTTCCAGATATTCTTTCTCAGAAGAGATCTTTTCTAACTGGTTTTTAAGTTCTTGAATTTCTAGAGAATTATCTACCTTATCATCTGCTTTATCCTCCTGTTTTAAAGCATCTTTTTCAGCTATTAGTTTTTTTACATGCTCCTTCACATCAAGCATTAACTGAATGACAGCACTATGCTCTGATTTAAAAACTTCATCACTTAAATCGGTCTCACAATCTTCTACAACCTCATTCTCTTTTAAGACTTCTTTTGGATCAAGCTCATTTTTCAGAAAATTCAGATCTTCAATAATTGTTTTTTCACGGGCATCAAATTCATCAATTTCCTGAAGAATAGCCTCTTTTTCAGATTTTAACATGTCCATCATATTTTCCCATTCTCCTAATTGATCTTTCATCGCTTGAACCTCATGTCTGAGCAGTTCTTTTTCTTCTTGGAGCTCACTAACTGAGTAAGCTGAATGTTCTTTTTCTTTTTTCAGTTCTGCTGTGCAAATTTCTAATTTCTTCAGAAGATCTGCAGGACTGTTTGGACTATTAGACCTTGAAGAAGTGTTTGAGCCTTTTGCAACATCAGACTTACTTCCATAAGGACTAGATGATTTAGATTTCCCTTGTTTCTGACCTTTTGCAGGTTTGTCAAGCTGATCTATCAACAGTTTCTTTATCTGATCAAGTGCAACAAAAACATTACCTTCTTGTACATTTTTATTCCTAGCATTGAGCTCTTCATTGATGTGCTGAATTTTCTGTTTAACTTTATCAATTTCACTTTTTGCTGATGCTGCAGCACTGTCTTGATTTGCAAGTTCTTGTTTCAATTTTTCAATCATAGATTCAAGATTTTCTTTAGACTTTACTAATTTTTCTTTTTCATCCTCCAAAGCACCATTTTCTTCAGAGAGTTTATAATATTTTTCAGAAATTTCAAACTTTGAATTTTCAAAGGAGTCTGCATGCTTTTTAAATTCCTCCAGTCTCTCCTGCATCATTTCTTTCATCTTTTCAGCATTTGTTTCTTGGGTAGATATAATTTCCTTTAACCTTTCAATTTCTGATTGTAAAGTTTCCTTTTCTTCATTAGTGTTTACTTCTTTCTTTTCATCACAACTTACTGTATCTGATGATGATTTCAAAAGTTCAATTTCTTTATCTTGAACTGTTTTCTCTTCTTGTAATTTTTCATTCAAAGATTTCAATTCCTGAATTTGACTTTTTGTTTCTTCCTTAAATTGTTCTTCATTTTTTAGGCTTTTTTCCATCTCTTGAGTTTTTTCTTCTAATATTTTCATGTTTTGTGTGAAATCATCTACTTTTCTTTTTTCCCCATTTAGTTCAGACATGTATAAATCAACCTCTTGCTCTAATGATGCAATTCTTTTCTTATATTTCTGTAATAAAGAATATTATCTAAAGTATATATCTGTAAAATACTGATGCCCTTTAAAAATTAAATATGAATAAATAGTAAAAATGTTCACTAGAGTCAAAGTTATCAATATTGAATGAGATGATGACAAGTTGATGTAAAATATATATGAAAATAACAACAAATCCCATTGAAATAATCATAATAATACTAACTGTAAATACATTTCAGGGATTAAACTTAACGGTCGCCCAGTCGCCCAATGCGACCAGATTTTCGGCTGGGCGAATATATTTATCATCCTGATTGCCCAGCTGGCGACCAAAAATATTTTGCATTGAATCCCATGTCTATCCTTTCCCCCACGATATAAACAAAAACTGTTCACAAATGGAAACCCGATTGTCTAATTAAAGCGGGAAAATGTAATGGAGGATTTCCGGAAACCAGTAAGGTCATTTTAATAACCAAAACCCAGTCGGACAACTAAGTTTTCGTTGCAAAGTCACGATTTGACACATGTATACCCCTTTTCTAAACACATGTTCTAATTTCTTTTTTAAAGTTTCTACGATTAATTCATTAATTTTAAGTGTTTTCGTTACACTGTTGAATCTGAATTACTTTAGAGATACATCCCAGTTGTTCAGAGAGTCATTACAAGTCCGTTTTTGACAAAAACTTGTAAGCACAACTTGTTCTTCAATGAAAAAACGAAACGCAAAATCTCATAAATAAATATAATAATATCTTGTATGCTAACCAATCTTTGATGAAAAGTAATTATATAATATTTTTGATCAACACTTATTAGAGGATGGCTTGGATTTGAAATAACATTTAATGTTTTATGGAAACAGCTATATTGTCAACAGGAAGTTCAAATTGAAGGGAGACAATTTTGGCGGGAAATGTTCTAAATTCAGTACTGTCAAATCTTATGATATATTTATGATGGCAATAATTCAAATATTATAAAGTTACCACAATTAACCTTTACATGCTCAAACATTAAATATAGGATTACCTTAAAAGGTTTTATTTAAGGAATGACTGTAATATTTTTTCTGTCTATGAAGAAATAACATCAAAAATGTGGTGCACACTGAATAACCCGTGTAGCAGGTTATTTAAAAGTGTGCACCGCATTTTTAAGGTTATTTGAATAGACAGAAAAAAATATTACAGTCATTCCTAATAATTTAATTCTAAAAAGGAGTAAATCATGATAAAAACGTTGATGACGTCACTGTCACATGACAAAATTATGTCTATGAGCTGAAACTGAAAATCTGTAATCTTTTTGTGACTTTAATTTGTGGTTTTCTCATATCGAAAAATCAATATAAAATAATGAATAAGTGAGTATAAATTATCGTAAAAGACATGAAATTACTGTGGCTTCACCATAATTGTCTTAAATTATATTATACCTGTTGCTCTTCCACAGACTTCTCTAAATCTGCCTGTAATCGGTCTTTAGTTATTACTAGTTCCTGCACCTGTTGCTGTGTATCTGTTTCCTGTTGCTGTTTCATAGATTTCAACTTCTCCATCATCTGATCTCTGGCATCAGTTAACAAATGGATTTGCTCTTTCAAATTCTGTTTTGATTAAAGATTGTAAGAGTTACTTTCATATGTAAAGAATACTAGTTTGCAAGTTCACTATCTCATAAACTTATTTCTTAAAAGCAACAGCTTAGCGGTGTGAAAATGTTGTTTGTGCTGTATTTAGACCCCTCTACCAAGAAATTTGTTTTGCATGCACACGTATAAAAATTTCGGTTTTTATCCAACGCAATCATAGGTTTGAACATTGTTTTCAATTTAAGACTTGTTTATATTTTTTCGTTTGGGCTTGTATTATATTTGCCTTCGAGTTTATATGATCTATTCATCCTATTACAGTGTACTAATTTTTGCACCTTTTGTTTGCGGTATACCATCTTTTCCGCAAGTTTATTGTCTTCTGTTTGGTATTAAATTAATAGTTAAGATCCATTTTGTTACATCTGGTGATCTGTTTATTTGGCAATCGCCAATGGCAGTCAGCAGGGTTTAAGAACATCCGTTGTTCGACCTGCTAGTCAAAATAAAATATACTTTTTCACTATTTTTGGTCTTTTGGAAAATGTTGTTTGTGCTGTATTTAGACCCCTCTACCCATAAATTTGTTTTGCATGCACACGTATAAAAATTGTGGTTTTTATCCAACGCAATCATAGGTTTGAACCTTGTTTTCAATTTAGACTTGTTTATATATATATATATATATATATTGACCATGTTGACCTCCCAAAGAGATTATCAAAATTCTACCTTACTTGGACATTTAGGGGTACTACTGGTACAAGTAATTTTTATTTATTTGAAGAAGTAAATATTAATATACTTATACAAGTAAATTTGTAAGATACTTACACAAGTGTATTTTATTTACCTGTTTAGGTAAAGTATTTATTGGCTTAGTTATGTCCCTTAGACATTCAGATTATTTTTACTTATACAAGTACATTTGTAACAGTTATACTAGCTTCTTTTCTTAAATTTCTCAGGACTTCTTTGCTCTAATAGAATTTTTAATTGTCTGTCCTTTGCAGATATCTTTACTAATCATGTAAGTGTAATTTCATGGACAATGAAAATCTCATTTGTCTGTTATCTTCAGAACACTGCTCATTTACAAGCCCCTAAGGGAAATTTTTGAAGGCCTTGCGCAATTACTTAAGATCTTTGCGCAATTAGTTTCTTTGTTGAATCAATGAGATGAAACATTGATCTCTAATAAAAAATTATGAACTAACCAGAGAAAAATCATTAAAAGGCATGTTTTTACATCTCAAAATTAGAGAATTTTAGGGATTGTAAAAACTTATACAAGTAAATTTTATGAGAAAATAAAGGGGAGATTATTTAAACATTATAAGAATAATGAACATAACAAAATTTACTTATATAAGTATCTTATTATTCACTTCTTTAAGAAAATAGAAATTACTTGTACAAGTAGTACCTCTGACTGTTGGAAGGGTTTAAAGCATTGATTTACTAATTTTCATGGTAAATTTAATGTCATGAGTTTGGATGTTGGAATTAATTGAAATATAACTAGATAGATGACAGAAATGACTTAATATTTGTACTTAGTGAATTAATGCACATGATAAATAATTTGAAATATGAAAAACATGAGTATAAGTGTGAATGAAAATCATTACGGATCTCCCTCCCCTAATATGTTACCACATATCTAAGTTAGGTTACAATACCATTTAAGATCCTGCAGTTATCATAGGGAGACCTCTTTTCTGCAAATATTTATGTTTCAGTTATTATGACTTTGTTGTATTTACCAAAGAATATATAGGAATTTTCCTTTTAGTATATGTGACCTTATATTCGAATTTGATTCAATCTCATGTAAGGTTCTAGGGTTTTTATCTGGAAACCTCTCTCCAGTCCATTTTTAATAATTTTGACCTTGACCTTGGAAGCAATGATGTTAAAATCAATAAGGATTCTCTTCTCCCTATATGTATGTTTCATTCCCATCCCACTTAAGATTCTGAAGTTACTATTCTGAAGTCCTATTCCTGCACTTATTGCAATCTATTTTTAGTAAGTATGACCTTGATCATGAACACAGTGATATTAATATAAAAAAGCACCTTCCACTTATTACATGTGATAATATATTTAAGTTCCAATTCTGATTGTACAGTTTCTAGTTATAATACTTTGACCTCAAACGTAGTGACCTCAAAATCAATAGAAATCTTCCTGTCATTATATGTGGTCATTTAAAGGTTGAAATCTAATAAAAAAAAAACCATTTGAAGTGCAACAATTTCAGATAACTACGGGAAAAGTAAAAGATTGTTTGTTTGCACTGACGCCACTAAAAAACCCCAAAATATCTGCTCAAATTCTTTTATTACTAACAATGTTTGTTTTTTAACATTTGTTTTAATCCAAAATCAGGACATGAATGTTTCTGTACAGAACTTTATCATTTGACAACTTCCTAATACACTTTAAGAAATATGTTGTAATGGGAGATTTTACTTTCAATATTTCTAGTAAAGTTCTTACCTCATTTTCTGTATTCATCTTTCCTTGTTCTTCTTGCATAAACTGCAGAGAGGTTCCCAATGTCTCATCTTTCATCTTAAGGCATTCAATTTCCTCTTCTAGTGCCTTAAAAATCATAAACAACTACATTAGTTGAATATTAAAACTGTCTTACTAGTTTGAAACTTATATATATATATATGAAAGAAATATATATTACCAATCAAGAAAAGTGTGTCAAAAGGATGGGTGGGGGGGGTTACTAAAAAAACGTGTGAGTATCACTGGGGTTTAACTTTCAAACCAAACATAGTTAAATAAATAACCAAATGTCATATACAATTTTGAGTTACCTGTGATTAAATTAAAGTTGAACATTATCAAACAACGATGCAGTTGAATTTTTTAATGCTTGCATTGAATAAACACCAGAATGAAACATTACATTGCTACATACACAAGCGTTTATATATACATTGTACTATAAAACCATATTTGTTTGGTCATTTCAGCCACTGATGAGGAAACATGGAAAAACAATCATTCCTTTTATGATTGATACACAATTGAATTGTATTTCATTTGTATAGACAGTTGTCTTTAACTGATAATGTCTGCTTTTGGAGTTCTTTTGGTTGTTTGTGTTTTCACATAATTTCAACATCTCTTTTTATTCATATTTAAATTTTTTTAATTACTACTATCATAATTTTTTCCACAAACCATTTTTTTTAAAGAATGCTAGTAATCCTACGAAAAAAAACAAATACACAAAAAAGTACTGCCATTAATATATAAAAATTAATCATATAAATACCAACTAATAAATTAAAATAACAAAGAAACATTACCTTTTTCGACTGACTCATGGAGGCGAGTTGTTTCTCTAGATTACCCTTTTGTTCAGTTAACTCAGTACAATGGGACTCTACATCCTGGAACAAAAAATGTTCATTAACGCATTAAACTTTTTTCATTTGCAATCAAAAATATTTATAAAGTTTAATAAATGAAAAATACAAACAAATTTGAAGTAAATGAATTTTAAATGATCATTCTTACATTAAAAATATCTCTTGAGTGGTTATATCTGCCGTAATATTACAACTATGGTTGATTGCTACATAAGACACTTAACATTCAGTTAATTTAAATATGAACTTATGTATGGTAATTTCAAAGCATTTGACCACATGTACTAGTAAATGAAACTTCAGTGAAAAATAAAGTGAAAATAAATAAGTATACAAACATGGAATTTCTGTATGGAATAATCTTGTGTCTGTTGCACTGTCTGGTAGGCAGTTAAAATATCTTCTTTTTCATCTTCAAGTTCTTTTATTTTTACTTCCAGATCCTACAAAAATCAATAAAATAGAAGTCTGTTTCTTTTTCTTTTCTGAAGACATTATAAAAAGGCAACCTCAGCAAACGTTATTTCAAAATTCTTTCATGTTTCTCTATCTTCATGTAATTGTGGGTTTTTCCACCTATACTCTCTTCAAACTTTGTGAATTTACATAACCTGAATTATAAAAACAATGCTTGGATTTATACTTTTAAAATCATTTTATTATATATAAAGCATGATACAAATATCAAAATAACTGTAAAAGTCAAATAAATCTGCCTGACCTTTAACATCTGTGAGAATTTCAAGTTCTAATGACACAATTTCAATTTCTAAGATGTTTCAGGCATTCAACTTGATTTTTTTTATCAGAAAATTGCAGAAAGTTAACATTCAACCTTCTTTTTAAACAATTGATGTAAAGGACTATGTGTGTCATATACTTGAAAACTTTCTATCAGGTCAAATATATTATCAGCGGGGTAAGAAAATATGCTAGAAAATATAATTTGTCGTTTTTAATTTCATCTATTATTGAAATAAAATTCTAAACATAGCCCCAACCTACATGTACATTTAACTCAAATCAATTTGTTGTGTTTACAGTTGTCATTGTTATTGTATATGTGTTTTTTTGACACATGACTTCAGCTTACATAGATAACCATTGTTCTGTATTTAACTTTGAACAGATTAACTATATCAGATTTACCTTCACAGACTTTCCATCTCCAGCTGCCCCGTCTGTTTTATTTGATTCTAAATCTTTTACTTTCTTTGTCAGTTCTATTAATTAAAAATAAATATGCCTGTTATACATTGTAGGTTGGTTAGATAAATTATTCATTTATTAGCTTCAAGCAAATAATCTTTCAATCTTATTCAGGATGAGAACTTGTTGATATGATATATAAAACAGATATAAATCAGTTTTAAACACGACCAATGAACGTGTTGAATACACATGATAAATTTGAATACACATTGCTAAAGATATTTACGATGAAAACTATGAATGAAAGTATTAGTAGTTGAAAAAATTAAAATAAAGTTTGATTAAAGATAACGAGGAGTGATTTACTTTAATAGAAAGTGAAAAAATGTTGCTTGCAAGGTAAATTCGTCTGAAACTGTCATATTTTTAGAAATAAAATGATCATTAAACATCGATCGTGAATCCGTGCGTCGGGAAATATGTGACAATCAACACGGGTACAGAATCGCCGCAGCTTATGTATAATGTCACTGGGTAAATAATTTCAATGGTTTTAACTTTAACGAATTTGTAAAGTTTCGTTTATATCTATCCGCCAAAGATAGGATTAAACAAATAATACGCACGGAAGCGTAATGTGAAACTAAGGAAACTGGTCAGCTGTTCATTTATAAAAAAAAATTGTTTTAAAAAGTTGTATACCAAATATATTAACCATATTCGATATTTATTAATTCTGAATGAACATGTTCTCTGCAAATAACAAAAGGATGAATTATAAGCAAAAGGTAGATGATGGAAGTAGAAGTTTTTTTCACACCAATGACTTCTAATGAAATGGGGAATACACCTCCCTCTACACTGTCAGTATAAGCAGATTTCATTGCTTTTCCTAATCCCAACCAAGCTCAAGTTTTAGCAATTGATAAAAGCAAGCACCATGTTTCTGGTTTCAATGACAAGTGGCTGACTGAGTTTTCATGGCTTAGAAATGTTAAAGGGGGTATAATCAAAAGTTATTGTGAGTGGGGGTTTAATTTTTAACCCTGAAGAGGATAAAGACAAAGTTGAGGAACAGACTGTCCAACAAAATAACACTATCTTGAAACAATATCCCTAGAAGGAGCAGAGAGTAGAGATGAATATTTATATTTTGACTTCTTTAATTGACTTTTGTGTTTAAAATCAATTTATTTCATATATATATACTCTTGTAATTCATTAATACTCTGCATTATTAAACACATAACACAAAGCATTATAATTCATATTGCATGTCATGATTTATGACTTATTGCTTCAGATCACAAACGTTCACTCTAAAAAAAGAGTTACGCGCCCTTGAATTTTGCGCCTTAAAAAAATTCTGGGGAGAACACTGTTTAAATTTAAAAAACTTTCTTATTTCTAGAATGAAAGATGTTGTATTGTGTAAGGATTCCTGTCATAAGGAGATATAAAATTAACAAGAATAAATATTGTATTATTATTTGAACCAGTTTCTATCTTAAATTTTAATAAAAAGAAATTTTTCATAAATTTCAAAACATTTTGCCTTAGATTTCATGTAAATATTAACTTTTCTTGTCTTTAGTAATAATCAAACATAGATACAGACTTAATACTGCACTGAAATCTAAATCTTTTTTTGTCATGATCCATCTAAAAAGAATTCCTAAATCTATAAATTTATAATAAATGCATAGTATTTAAAAAGATTAAATAAAATGTTTTGTCTTTTAACAAAAAATAAGATAAATTGAATAATAAACAAAAATAGTGACAAAATAACATTTCTAAAATTACATTGAGAGAACATTTTAATGAATTGTAATAAGTGGTTTAGGATGAGTTGCTAATACAAAATAAGTACCCCAAATAAAGTAATGGCAAAGTCCATGTTTTGGTATCAGAAACCTTAAAAATGATTTGGATCAAAAAAACAAATTAAGAGGTGCACAATACATAATTTGGTTAAAATTGAAATATGGAGATGCAGATACAAAATTAGTACCCTCAAATATGTACTATAGAGTGCAGATATCTTACAAACAAATCCATTTGTATGTCATCATGGTTATCCATAATTTAACAATAATAAAACTTAACTTGTAATTTTTAGAAAGTGATAAAACTATATTGCTATAAACAATTAAATTACATCCAATCAGTAAAAAAATTATGTTAAATGATTTATTTACCATCACATTTAGATCTTGTTTTCTGAAGCATTAACATCTGTTTCTTAACAAACTTGATCATGTCTTCCCTTGACAAGCTGTCCAACTGTAAATATAAAAAATATCATATACATGTAAATTGGGAGACAACCAGAAATTTTCTGTATCATCAAACACAAGTATGTATACTTAATAACAAACATCTACTTCTGGTACAGGCTCAGTAAATATTGAAAATTCAACTGTCAACAGTGGAGAAATATTGAATTGCAGGAGATTTGGTGGTTGAATCTGTTTCTCTCATGATTTATAGACATATGTAGAAAAACTTAATCCTTTTTTTTCTAATGTTCTGCAAAAAGAAATATTCAATATTTCTATTTGATGTCATCGGCATGGTCAACTTTTTTCCTGACGTCACAATAGTAAATTCAGAGGAAAGCAAGAAAATTTTGCGTCATAATTTATTTTTGACCAATGAAGAACTGAGATCAAACAAATTACATATTGAATAAAAAAATATAGTCAACAGTTCAGGACAAGGAAAAATTGGCTAAGAATTAGAGAAAACAAAACAAAAAAATGCTCAACTCATCAACTTAAGACAACATTGCTTTAACATAGTCCATTTTAGTAGAAGCATGAGGACAAAAGTCAATAGCTAGTTTTGAAACAACAATTATACATTGATAAATGGTTGCTTGAACACATATATAGAACCTTGTCTAATGATAGACTTTACCTTGGAAGCTGCAGGACTTTTTCCAGCAGATACTTGGCTGTCACCATCCTGCTGATCCTATAATAGATATATTTATAAAATCAAAAATATAATGAACACAGCAATATGTAGCTTAATCTCTTCAAAAGGGGGTGTTCATATTTAATCATATTCAACACCAGCAAGTATATATATTATATTACTTGAATCACCTTGTGTGTACTATGTTGCAGTTTTGTCACCTTTCATTTGCAAAAACAAAGCATGCATCAGCCACATATTAACAATGATCAAGATCTGTCTTGTACAAGTATACTCTGTTTAAACTTTTTATTGAGCATCAGTTTATTTTATGTAAGTTCTCCAGAAGATAGTGTATTCAGCACACTGTGATGTAACTTGTGAATGACATTTTTCATCTTCTTTTCTTCAGTTATTTTTAATTTCATACATCAGTTATGTTGCAAACCGCTGCATGAGTAGAAGTATCTTGAGCTTAACAGTCTATAAGACAACCTTGTATATTATTAATTATATATAATTTTCTTCGTGCAAAAGTTTGAAATACAATGAATTATCAATATCATACCCAGAGTTCTCAAAGTTTATCTATTTTAACTGAGTCCCAGACTCTTACTCAGTAGAAATGGGAGTCCTGGCAAGAAAAATGGGAGACCCAAAAACAAACTGAGTGTCTTCAAAGACTAGTGGATATGTATCACCACCGTCTAAATCAGATTTTGAATATTAAAGGAATTATGCAAGGACACATCTGCTTCATGTGGAAAAATTGAAAAATTTTGAATTTTTTTACTTTTAATGTGAAAGAACAATCATCCCAAAGATCATAATTAAAGTTAACAGAAATATTCATAAATGACCTGTTTCTTTTGTAACAGTGGAGCATTTTCCTTCCAAAATTACCATTTTTCCAACACTGGTTCAAACCCCTGGCACAGTAAGCCACCACTTTACCAACTGAGACAAAAGATTTAACTACTTGTGCAGCTAATGAAGGGCAGCAATGGGCTGTAATGAATCTAATAATAAATGGGAAGTACAATTTCACTTCCCCACCTTTTTTAATAATAATATTTACCTGCTTTCAATAGCCAATCAGATTTTTCGTTTGAGAACAATTTTTTGGTTATATTGCAGGAAAAAGGGTAGAAATGGGATTCCCCACTGCCTATACCTTTGGGTAGGACTTGGGCAAACCAAAATATTTTTAAGTGTGGCCTTGGGCAAGCAGGATGATAAAATCTGGTTGCCTTTGAGAACAGTTAAGTTTTCCCCTGGACCAAAAGAACCAGAATTTTTTTTTCATGGACAGAAACATTCTGTACAACAGGAGCAGGTACGCACTGAACTTTGCTCTGTACACAGAATCAAAAAAATTATTTCCAGATCACGTGTCATGGGTGAAAACTACAAACAAGTAAACCAGGCTTCAACCAGGGAGGTGAAATGGAAACACTGTTCACAAAATAATATGGGGACAACAGCTGTAAGAAAATCAATAAAACGAAAAATCAATGTAAAAATCTATATATATTTATGAACTCAAAATTGTTAACTTTTTTTTTAACAGTTGAGTTTAGGCATTGCACTGGTCCTGTTCTGTTGACAGACACTGCCATGTTGTAAGTCATACAATTTTCTGCGAATTTGCATAACTGATTACCAAAAAGTATAATGGGAACAAAAATTTTGAATTTATTCTGTTTATGTTTGTAATAAATTGAGGGTAAAGCTTTAATATCAGACATACAATTTTAAGGCAAACAAAATGAGTTCTCTGGTGAAACTCACCTCAAATCAAGCAGGCAAATTAGCCCAATATTGTAATATAAGCTCTTATATAGATTTACTGAACCTATGTAATGTATGTATGTACTGGTTGATACCTCCGTTTTTCGGAGCTCCCCTCAAAAGCTGCTAGGGTACAGTGGTATCTGTTTACACTCCCTAACAGGATTAACGGAGATGTGTCACTAACCCATGTACACCAAGGACAAATCCCCAACCCAACACCATGGGAGTGCTAGAACACCGGGAAGTCTGTTATTATAGTGGAGGTAGCTGAAGTATTCAGAGAGAACTACAAGGCTTCTAGGCGGGAACAGACAAACCGAAGAGATATCCGAAGATTGATAAAATGCATTTTTCCCATTTTTCCTCTTCAACCATTTTATTTTTATCTATTTTAATCTTTTATATATTTTTTTTCTCTTCCCCTTTTAAACAGAGACGATGGGATGTATCACGTGTTTGTCAGTCTTTGTGTCCTTAGTATGCATCCTATTCTGTAAATATATAAAGCAGTGTTCTCCCCAGGATTTTTTGATAGCGCTGTGGTAAGCGCGTGATTTTCGACAATTCTCAGTAACTTTGTCGTGGCGCGCGGTTCGTTTGTAATGGGTTTGTTATGATGTTTTATACAATATGCTGCTGATGTTTGCGCTTGTAATGATGTCCTGATGGAAGTTACCCAGTTGTTTTTAAATGTTATTGTTTTAAAATAGATGAAGAATCATTTTTATCTGTGTACAAAACCCAAGGAAAAGTCTTTTTCCATGAAGGGTCAACACAAGACTGGCGATTTGAAGATTTCTTAACAGGTGATGCTGTAGAATATGTAGGACCATAGGCACTTGTTTTCTATCCATGACAAGATCTACTATCCCTATACAGTTGATCTTGCCATGGATAGAAAACAAGTGCCTGTGTGTAGGACCCACTATCACGTCATTGTCAGTTTCTGTGTTGGGTTTTGAAACCCACTGGAGCAGTGTACTATTAACCTTACGATGTTTGACAGGAGTTGACATTTGGGAACATTATGATTTCTCTACTACTAAACTTATGATTTCTGATCACTATTTACATTCGTATGGCTTCACCCAAGCTGGACATCGAGAAAAGTGAATTTCTCATCTAGTATTGGCTTGGGGTTTGTTTTTCTAATCATAGCCTCCTAATTGTTTTCAAATGGTAAAATGCATTAATGTAGTATTGCTGATCAAACAATTATTAGTTCGATTAGGTGATAATTAATACTTCAAAGACTTGCACATTGAAAATTTGATCGTTGTTTAAAATTTAAACAAAGTTCGTAAAACAAGTTCGTGAGTGTTGTCAGTTAAGGTTCATCATAACCTTTTGGCTAATATGGCCGTATTTACACAACAAATTTTACTCTGAGTACAGACAAACCTGTGCACCTGGTAAAGTTTTAAGGCATGGCAGGAACTAGATAATTAAATTTTAAATGCTTTTTATGTTTCAGAAAATTATAAACTTTTCTGGATTTTGCTATTCATTTTTTTTTCACTCCTGCAGAAGATGCCAAAAAAAAACTAAGTTGGAAAAGTGGTTTGAGAAGCTCCCCTCATATAATAAATGTTGTGAGTAGTATTGATTTGAATGGACAATAGATGGACAATAGACATCAGCAAACAATAGGAGATTTAAACTGTGTAACTGAGTGGACTGTATCAAATGAAACTCATGAGTTTGTTTATTTTGCCATCTTCTGCAGACTGGAAAAAAATGCACATCAAAATCCAGGTAAGTTTTTAATTTTCTGAAATACAGACTACATATAACTTTTATATATCAAGGTCCTGCCATGCCTTTAAACTTTCCTAGATGCATCAGTTTGTCTGTACTCATAGTAGATTTTGTGGTGTAAACACAGCCATATTTTTCAATTCCTTTTGATGAACCTTAATGCGGTCACTTTACTTCATCTTATTCCATTCATATTTGCTTCTTTATATTCTTTTTTATTCAAAAAATGGATGATAAAATGGCAAATAACCCATTCAGAAATGGTAAACCAGACGATCACGTGATCGCGGTAAAGGATGAGCTGGAAATTTGAAAAAAAAAATTAAAAAAATATAGCGACTCGATTGATTTAGATAGCGTCGCGCTAAGTTCAATAGAACAGCAGGAAATTGCGATAGCGCTGAATACCGCAGCCCTCAAACGGCCTTGGGAGAACACTGTATAAAGGTTGAAATACTCCAGACTTTTGACTGGTCCTTATCAAAATTCTCACGGGACTGGAAACACTGATAAATTTCAACGTCTATAAATTTTTTAGCTGTAAACACTTTAAAAATTAAAGTAACATGTACAGTATTGTGTGATTTTATACGGGTTTTGGTTTAAATGAGGATTTCCTCGATCTCCTATATTGGAGGTGAAGATTTATTATGGATACAGATATAACCCACACTGGAATGAACAATTGACATTGTGCTGGGTGGGTCTTTTCACCACCGAACACCACCGCACACCACCGAACACCCAAAAAAACTATCAACCACTAAGAAAATCAGTGATTTTATACATTAAAACGGTTAAATCAATTAAATTACGTCTAAAAAACAAATTTTTAGATGTTTATGTGCATCATTTTTCTGTTAGTCGATTATCAATATAATCAATATAAAGAAAAACGTCTCTGGATTCATCACTATTACGTTTCCGGATTACATTGTGTGTGTATACGAATCATTTGACATCAATTACTGACGAAGGATATTAGTTATCCGAAATATTAAACATTTGTTCATGTCTCTTTTCTTATTATTTGTACAACTATTTTATAAAAGAAGAAAAAAAATGAAGAAAAAAAATGATTTGAGGTGTCCAGTGGTGGTTTGCAGAGTTGTAGTGTTATAGACTCTCCTTTTCTGTTCGATGTAGATATATGTTCTCTAAACCTTATTATTTGTTGAATTAATAACTTAAATATTATATTTAGGTCACATAACAATAAGAGATAAAAAAAATAAATTTTTGGGGTGTTCGGCGGTGTGCGGTGGTGTTCGGTGGTGAAAGACCTACCGTATTGCGCTTAGACTATTCTCAGCCTTAGATAAGTTAGAACTTAAATGACGGAAAATGCCTTTAAATGGCTTATCATTCATGCCAGTATTACTATAGGCAGTTTTTTAAAAAGATTAGAGCCTTCTGAACTTACAGCCATGGTCTAAATGGACTGTCTAACACAATCAGTGTTTATAACTTTTCACATTTCAGACAGACTTCAGTTTCTGTTTTTTTTTTTTTTTTTTTTTCTGACTCCGGAAGTTGTTGCGTGGAATATTTATAAAATGACGTACTATTACGGATAGGGAACGTATTAAATCCGTATAATTTTTTAAATATTTTCGTTTTTGTTTATTTTCAAAGGATTTTGAGTGATGAAATTAAAAAGCATTGGGATTTGAAATTTAAATTTAGTTGAAAACATAACATGCAAAATCAAAGGACTTAAAAGCACTGCGTAAAACTATTTTAAAATTTCGCGCTAAAACTTCATGGTTTTTCGAGTTTCTCTTTTTTGCAGCCTCGAGACTTATCTTTCAACCATTTAACATCCACATCAGTAAGGGGAAAGAACTCATTAATCTAACGCAAACATGGCGGCTATCCGGGGAAAATCAAGTTTTGTGTTTACAAAAAGGTTGGTTATGCAGATCGTATGAAGAAGAATGACTTGTTACTTTGCCATAATTGATTTAAGATCATGATCTTTCGGTTTATCTATATGCCTATTATAATCACACGGTGCAAATATGTTAAATCTGACTGCAAAAAAGTTGTGCTATTGAAAAATGTTAAAATTGAAATCCCAAGATAATGGGGATTTCAACTTTTTCAGTTTTCTGGCGTACAAAAGATATACTTTCATTTATTTTAAGTTATAACTTAAAATAAAATTGATATATTATTTTTACTTGATATTATATGTTGAAAAAGTAAGATCGGTAAACAAAATAAAAGAGTTTTCAGTTGCACATGTTGCATGTTGTTATTTTATTGATATGCTAATGAAACACAACGTCAATAATTGTTTACCACCCAGTACATGTCCAACTCTAGAAATAGTCCCTTATTCTGAAAAGGATGTTCAGAAGCAAAAGTGATTTGCAATTTACAACCATAATGCAATAATTAGTGTTTAACATGCATGATGTACAAAACAATATACCAGTCATTCCATAAAAATCTGTACAAAAGCCGTATAAATACGTCTCTAGATTTATTTAAAGTAAATTTAGTGTTTTCCTTTATCATACTGATAATTTTCTCACGGTAAATGTTCATTTTCACCAAAAGCTTGCAAAAAAAATCGTAACGAATCTTGTAAATCGTAGATTCTGAAACTTATTGATGCTGTGAAATGTTATTTTCGTGTAAAATATGGTTGTCGCTTTTTCTTATTTTTTCTACGCTATGATGATTCTTTTGATATAATAGCAAACAACATCCAAAATAATTACTAGTAGTAAGATTAAGCATTGTATTAACGAAATAAAATACGCTGGGAGTTGTCCGTGGTCATCATATGTTTCAAATTTCGTAGTTTTGGATGTCTCCAATAAAGCTTTAATGTCCGTAACAAAAACTAGTGACTCTAGACAAACACATGATCAGTCTTTTAATTTTTCATTTAGATGTTTAAAGTTTTACTTTTGAATATACAACAATATAGCATAACACTTTGTCGCATTTTGCCTTTCCGTATTTTGTAATTGGATCTTGAAAACATAATTTCAATGTGTCCTATATAAGGCGTTAATGTCAGTAACGACGATTGTAATGAGTTAAATTACATTTAAGACCTGAATCTTTTTTGGTTTTAATAAACACACTATTATTACATAAAATATGCTGCTGTGATGAAAAATAATTGCATTTTTTTACACAATATGATCTGGAATAGTAATGACATTAATGTACATAACACGTTAATATCCGTAACGGAAATAAAAACTAAAGGATAGAACTAATCCGGGTGTTATTTTCGGGACCATTTTTATGTAACACCGCCGGAAGTTGGTTTGTCGTCGTAAAATATCTCAAATTGATGATGGAAATGATCATAAATGCTGAATAACGTCTTTATATAAGGTAAGCAGAAGTTATTTTCTTATTTAAAAAAATATTTTTTCAACAATCAAGATGAAATAGTATTCGATAATATGGCAGAACCTTGAAAATAGCATTTTGATCAGGGTTTGTACATTGGACGGTGTATGACGAAACAACGCCCTTGATTATAGACATTATATGTGTCCGTTACGGACATTAAGCAATGTTTCTAAAATTGCATAAAATGATAAAACTGATAAAGAAAGATGCATAACAAGTTGGATTTTTAAAAGTTATCTTGTAAAACGTAGGTTTTAGGTCATTTTTGACATACTATACGGATATAATAAAGGTAGACATACAACGAAATTGTTCTGAACAAAAAAAAATAAGGAAAATGTAAGAGCACTTTTAAAACGTCATTTTAATTCATACTTCATAATTCTCTTTGGTCTACTAAATGTCAAGACATTTGTCCTTTCGTCCGTCCGTCCGTCCGTCTCTCCAAGTTTTTTTCCCAAACTTGTGTCAGCGTGTGGTCATTTATGAGACCCGTTACGGACATTAAGCGAATTTGATAAATGTCTTATTTTCCAAATCCTTGTGAATAAATGTGCATGAAAGTAATGAATTAGGATCATTACTTTCCTTCAAACTTACCTTGAATGTATTCATCTCTTTTTCCGTCTATAAGCCCGTATCACCACTGTGTTGGTGAAATGATAAGCTTTTACCCCTCGCTATCGCCGGGTAAATATTCATGATATAAAGGGTCTAACGGTGGTAAAATAATAGAATTATTTTAAATGTTATTACATAATGTTTAAAGATACATGTATTTGTTCTCTAAAATCTTATTTTGTTGTTTCAGATGGTCCTGTCAAACGCCGAAAGACAACAAAAATGGCGTGAGCGCCAAAAACAGAAAAACAAAGAAGAATTTCTAGAAAAAGAGAGAGTGAGAAGAAGGAAAAGATATATTCCTGCATTAGAGCTAAATGAAAAAGATTTAAAGAAGAGAAGAGCAATGATAAATAAACATGTTAAAAATCACTACCGTAGAAAAAAAGAGACATTGCAAACAGCTATACAAATGAATGAGTTGCCTGCAAGTAGTGGAACCAGAGCCAAAAGTAATGCTCAACACGCACCTTTACTTGTAAAACTCCCAATTACAATTCCAAACAGAGCAAAAGGCGTTAGGAAAACGTACCAAAGAGCCCTAAAGAGAGCAAACAGAAACGTCAGCAATCTTCAGTCAAAAAACACATCTCTGAAAAAATCAAATAAAAAGCTTCAAAAACGCATTGAAAGGTTAAGAGGAAATATGAAAAAGAAGAAGAAAGCGTTGAACAACTTACAGATGAACAGAATATGACACCACGAAAAAGAACAGACTATATAATGAAGAAAGATGGTTTATCTGGGAAGAAACATGTATCTGTCAGAAGGCAGTTGCTCTTGGCTAATTCCCTGTTCTATGATATAAAGCAAGTGAGGAAAGACGGAAAATTAAAAAGTCTTTTGGGAAAATGTAAACTGGTGAAGAAATATAGATGTGTGTCAAGTCTCAGTAAAGAACTCAAGATACACCGACGAACTAGAGCTTTAACAGGAACATCGAATAAACGAAAATCAAAGAATTCAGAAAGAAAAGCTAAGGTGATAGAGTTTCTTGAAAGAGAAGACAATAGTACCACCCTTCCAGGAAAGAAAGATCATCTCAAAGATCAGGAGAGTCGGGAAGTAAAACAAAAAAGAGTTCTAACAGATTACATGCACAATCTTCATGAAAAGTTTATGCTGGAAAACCCAGATGTCAAAGTTTGCAGGTCTGCATTCTATACGATGAAACCATCAAATATTGTACATGCAAATTTTTCCTCCAGACGTACATGTCTTTGTTCAAAGCATCAGAATCTTTGCCTAAAACTGAAATGTCTTCGAAATAATGGCATACTGGCTTCGAAAAATCCTGACGTCTTTGTTAAGGAGTACGATAGTAACGAAAAGATTCTAGGAGAAATAAATGAAAAATGCACGGAAGAAGTCAAATATTTCAATTGGAAAAGGGTTCAAGACGGTGAAAAGCTCAGATGGAAAGAAGTTGAAGAGAAAGTTAGTAAAACTGCATTCAATGACCTCTTTAACAAGGAACTGACAGCGTTCAGGGGTCATGTACAGAGAGTGCAAACGCAGTACATCGAGATGAGACGTTTACGAGAGAATCTCAAGGAAGGAAACATTATGATCTGGATGGACTTTGCAGAGAATTATAACTGTTCCGCAGTCGAGGAAATCCAGTCCGCATATTGGAACACAGCCATGGTTTCATTACACACTATGGTTGTGTACTTTCCCGAAGGTCACACTAAAAAGTTACAAAGCATGGTCGCAGTATCAGATCTTGTGTCACACAATGCAACAACAGTATTTACAATTCTTAAAAAGACCATTCCTATCGTGAAGGAAGAATATCCGGAATTAACCACTGTGCATTATCTTACCGACTCTCCGACCAGCCAATATCGGAATAGATATGTATTTCAGATTCTTGCCAATCACGAAGCCGATTTTGGCATTAAAGGCAGATGGAACTATCTTGAAGCGGGTCACGGAAAGGGCCCTTGTGATGGCCTCGGGGCCAGCGTGAAGCGAACTGCAGATCAAGCAGTCAAACAAGGAAAGTGTAGTATCCAGGGAGCGTCTGATTTCTATGCATGGGGTATGCATTGTGAAGAAAGTGGAAGCAAAGTTAAATACATTTTCTATGACCAGAATGACTATGACAGTGCATCTGCTGAACTTCTGGGAAGACCTCAACCAAACAGTATTCCAGGAACAATGAAACTGCACGCAGTTGTGCCATCATTAGTAGATTCGAAAGTCATGTTAACTCGTGAGGTATCATGTAGCTGTGAAACATGTATAGAAAATGTTGACAATACAGAGTGTAATGACTGGAAACAACATCGACTTCTTGCGACAGAAAATCAAAATCAAAATGCCGACAACCAGCCTGTTACAAATGACATTCCAGAAGAACACCATGAAATTCACGAATTGGAGATTGAACTGGAGATCGGTGGTTATGTGGCAGCTATCTATAATGCTAGTTGGTTCATTGGTGTCATTACCGATGTCGATGAAACAGAATGTCAAGTAAACTTCATGAGTCAGGCCGGAAAGTACGGGGATACGCTAAAGTGGCCAATTCCAAGAGATGAAATTTGGATACCAAAATCTCAAGTGATATTGAAACTAGACAAAGAACCTGAACCACACGGAAGATCTAGGAGATGTTTCAAAATATCACCAGAAACAAAGCAAAACATTGAAAATGTATTTCAACGTAGAAAAGAGGATCGTGATTAATGTCCGTAACAATACCATTGTGATCTAAATTGAAAATTTGAGCAACATTTAAAGAGTTTTAATCTTAATGAATTGAAGCAAGTTCTATTCTGATTAATTAAAGAAGCGATCATTTAGGTCCAAATTGAAATTTATGGTTTTAACTGTTAAAATTTTCAAATTTTAAGACATTTGTTATATAATTTTATCTCTTGAAAAGTTTTTTGTTATATTTGTTAGTTTTTATTTGTTAGTTATTAAATAAAATGTTCAGATAATGTCATGATACATGTTTTTGAGTGTTTAACGTCTAAAAAAGGTAATTCAAACTCCGTTTTCAATCCAATGGTATACAGTGTAACTTTGGTTAATGTCCATAACGAAAAGATCATTATTCAAATTTAGTAGAAATTGTTCATGCTTGTAGAAAACACATATAAATTTATGTTTTTTGTTGTCTATATTGCTTGAAATTAACAGGAAAGGGAAACATACATTTAAGAAATAAAGGTATTTAACAGCAGGCAAGTTGAAAGATCACCTTTTAAATCGAAATGTTGAAATGAGAGAATATGAACTTAAATGTTCATGGTACAACTTAAATGAGGTATGAGTAGAGACTCTTTGATTTTACATAGTAATACACCTGTCAATATTGATTCAAAAAACCAAGACAAAATATGAATACCACTTCAAAGGAATTATATAGCTAACCAGATTTTCATTTTAATGTCCATAACGCAGAAAGTCAACCATCCAACATTTGCTTTGGCGACAGACAAAAACAACTCATGCAAGGTGTCAGCTTTTGATGTTTTTTACAAATATACATGTATAGCTTCGCATTAACGTTAAATTTTAGCGTCACGAATGATACTGATTTTTTTTCATCTTTTATTGCTCAATTGTCCATTTATATCTGGAATGACTGATACATGTTCAGCTTGGATGTTGAGTTATGCAGTGTGTCTGGTAGTTATCTGAAGGTATAATCCATAGCCAAGGTCAGCTGCCTTGGCTATCATATATGTGTCCATCTGATCATCTATCCCAAATTTATATGTACATGTAGGACCTAGATGTCATTTAGTTGTGTCGTATGGTTGCTGTCTCAGCATACATTGACATATACCCTGGCAGTATCTTTTTTATTCACATTACCACAATAGAAAAGCTCACATATTACATGTATATATATATGGCAAAATTGCAATTAATTATTTAATAGAAATACATATTGTACATTCCTCTTCTTGAAAGTCTGCACCAAAATCTTTTCCAACTACTAGTCCGAAGGCAAATATTCAGACATTTTCCTTATGTGTCTAAACAAAGTTTTGCGAAAATTAACTAGTCCAAATAAAATTTTACTAGTCTGGGGCATCAGACTAGTGGCTAACAGTGCAGGCTGCTTCTACATTTACACATACATGTATATATAGTTTGTATATGCACAATGTACATGAACTGCCTCAGATATCAACTAGTCCAAATAAAATTTTACTAGTCTGGGGAATCTGACTAGTGGCTAACAGTGCAGGCTGCTTCTACATTTACACATGCATGTATATACAGTTTGTATATGTACAATGTACATGAACTGCCTCAGATGTCTTGTAGTAATGTCAGGTACAAAATGTAACTAAACTGTAGTGTGCAGGCATGTATCATGGGAAGTTATAAGTTGGATCTGGGGCCAAGTCAATCTATGACTTGAAAAAGGGTTTTGCTGCTTCTCTGCTAAGCACCCTCTGCTTTAAGGGGTAACTAGAGTAAATACTTGGGCAGCTGAGGACAATAATTAAACTGATGCGGACGATCAAAGAGTTGAAAACCCCCAAAGCTAGATAATGTTTGGAGTGAAACGGGTAAAAAGTCTGTATTATATATATTTATTAACCATAAATGTAGCTCCATGTGGGGGGGGGGGGGGGCAAAATCCATCTCTGTGAAATGTCTGATACCTTAAGCCGCTCATGTCTTCCTGTAGAATGTTTACAGTAGAAATGGCATGTTAAAAAGCGGACTAGTGCGTCTGTCTAGCACAAAGCAGTGTTTATACCATAGGCGGATCCAGGGGGGGGGGGCTCGGGCCCCCCCTTTCGTGGGAAAAATTTGGTTGATTATATAGGGAATCACTGAAGCATGAGTGGAGCGGGCCCCCCCTTATGAAAAGTTCTGGATCCGCCACTGCATACTCACATTACATAACATGTAATGTTTGCCATTGAATTTTTCAGGGTTGGCAAATTATTATATACCTGGTTTTCTAAGGTTAGGCAATACCCCCAGAAGTTGGTATTAAATGCATGTTGTACTGAGTAATGTGGTTGTTGTTTTCTTGACCCATGCTAGATGGGGGATATAGAATATTTTGTAGAAGTACCTTGCGTCCATCAGATGGTAGGTATACATTGTACATTTTTTGGTGTCAGAAGTTATTGAAATCATTATCAAAGGTTAATACCAGCAAGGTCTTGGAACTGTGCTGTCAAATTGTTTTTTACAGGAGTTATGCTGCTTGTTAATAGATATTATAGGGAAAATTACATTGTTAGGGATTTCTTGACTACATTTTGTAAGATATTTAATACATAGAAGTATATTAGAACCAAACAAATTTTTCTTAAGTAATATATAATTGTCCTTGGACTGATAAAATATGTGCCACATTGGAAACTATCTGTCAATATTGTCATGTTTTATTTAATTTAAATTTTACACAGAACAGTTCAAACATATTGTAGTTTCATAATACCATTGCCATATATAAACATTTTACACAGAAAAACCTTGAGTTATTTTAAGAGGAGAAAAAAAATCAATTTCTTCAATGTCTCAAACAATTTCATATACTAAATGCACAGAACAAGTATTGTATAAAATAAGGATATATGTGGTATGATTGCCAATGAGACAACTATCCAACAGAGTTTAAATGACAGGATTAAAGCAACTATTAGTCAACAAATGGTCTTCAGGAGCCTGTAGCCTTTGTTAGTCTTGTATTATTTTTAATTTTAGTTTCTTGTGTTCAATTTGGAGTTTAGTATGGCGTTCATTATCTCTGAACTAGTATATATATTTGTTTAGGGGCCAGCTGAAGGACGCCTCTGGGTGCGGGAATTTCTCGCTGCATTGAAGACCTGTTGGTGACCTTCTGCTGTTGTCTGTTCTATGGTCGGGTTGTTGTCTCTTTGACACATTCCCCATTTCCATTCTCAATTTTATTCAATAATGAGTAAAACCCATACCTTATACAAGACCCTGACATAACAGAATGGATCAAAGAACATTATTTGAACAAAAGACTTTTTTTCCAGTTCAAAGAATATTACTGGTAGTGTAATATTTCAATATTTTTTTTAATTTACAGATTGTTTGTTCACTGTTGGTCACTTAATGTAAGTGGGAAAAACTGATTGGATAAAGATATTAAACAGTCTTTATAGTACATGTGAAATAGGTGAGTTTTCCCAGTAGTAAATTAGTTTGTTCTTTTCGAATAGGGGTCATTTCAATACATGTAGTAAAATTAAATCGGTATTAATATTTTGTATTGTAATAGGCCACTGTACCATTTGTAGTTAAATTAAAATAAAATTGTTATGTTTTGATTTTGATAAAACAGTTTAGCTTTTACTGCTATAAAATGTTTTATTCTTTATTTCATCTCTCAATTTCAATTTTTGCAGGAGACTCATCTGATTGTGGAAGTTTGTGTAGTTGAAAGGAGTTACATACAGATGCTGTTTTGAATCATAAGAAATGACTGATATTAATTCATTTCTTCAGTTCCTCATTAGCTTCTTCACAAGGAATAAATTGTGTAAGGAGTTCTATATTCCTATTTAAAGACCTAACTTTTTTTTCCATTTGAGCGTATGAAAGCAAATTAATTGAATTCATTCTGAATACTGAGCTTATATAGTTTTATGTACATGTATATGTGACTTTATCTTTATTTGACTTTTTATTTATAAGTTATTTAAACATTAATAATTTTATTCTTTGTATGAGAAGCTATAATCAATCGACTACTAGTATATATTTTTTTCTCACCTGGGATGAAAGTCCGGGAAAGTGAGACATAAGGGTTCCTTTTCTGGCGACGATGGCTCTTGCATCAACAATTGTTAAGTTTTCTGCTTAAGTTAGTAAGTTTGACAGGTATTACTTGTGATAGATCATTGATATTTAATATAAAGTTGTATTACTATCAGTACATATCAGTTTGACAACTATTTTGAGGCCCTGTCCCTAGGATATGGTGCAGTGACTTGGATTTAGAGATTTTCAATAATAATAGAAAAACAAAGGATATGGAGTATCCATCCATGACACAAAATCAGTAAATGCACATCAAAAAAACATACAAAAAGCAAAGGAACAGCGCTTTTATTGCTGTTCTTCATCTCAAAGTCACATTGAGACCTCAACTTGGAGCAAAAAAAACTCTCACTTCACTGCAAGTTTAAGACGGCCCTATCACCGACTTTAGCGGAATTCTTTGCAAAAATAATTTGGATAGACTTTGTAAGATGTAACACCACTCAATCGGGCTAAGTCGAAAAAGAACATTCTGGAAAGTAGTACATATTTAAAACAAAAAAGTTTACTGCTTAAGTTAGTTTGATAGGATCTAATTCTGACACACACATTACAATATATCCAAAAATAAAGTAATTGTCTGATACAGAAGTTTTATATGTTTTAAAGAATAAAGCTGTTTTTGCCTTCTTTGTTTTTATTCCCTTTGAAAATATATCATTTTGTCCAACAAATTTTAAAAAAATCGGCATCAAGGCTTTGTAATATTGCAAATATTTGACCTGATAACAATTTAGACTGTTGGAATCATCACTGGCATCATAATGATATCAAGTTTGACCTGACATGATGAAGGCAAGTGTCATAAACTTATTAAACAATAAAATTGAGAATGGAAATGGGGAATATGTCAGAGACAACAACCCGACCAAAGAGCAGACAACAACCGAAAGCCACCTATGAAACAAGTTTGATTTGGATAAAGAAAATACTCAAATTAATACAATAAACAATGTATACATTGACATAATTATACACAAATTAAAAATAGATGAGTTATGAGAGAATCCTTTTTTTTAAGCTAATCTGGCAAAAGTGACTAATTGTGTCTTCATACTCATTTCATTGTTTGTCGTCTGTAAACCTTTTAGCTCACATCCCCATAAAGCCACTGAACTACTGTATAAACTTACTTGTTGTCCATTGTAAACTTTTTACCAAACTTGAGGTGAATGGTTCTAATGGTGTCTAGTATAAACTTTGTTGATTTTTATTCTGGTCAGTCTGTACACAGCAAACACTTTTGGATAAGTCTTTAAGGAATTATTACCATTAAATAGTGATTTAATCAATTTTTATACGACCGTAAAATTTAAAAAATTTTGGTAGTATATTGGTATGACGTTGGCGTCGTCGTCATCCGAAGACACATTGGTTTTCGCACTCTAACTTTAGTTTAACTGAATGGATCTCCATGAAATTTTACCATAAGGTTCAATACCACAAAAGGAAGGTTGGGATTGATTTTGGGGGTTATGGTACCAACAGTTAAGGAATTAGGGGCCAAAAATAAGCATTTTTGTAACTTCCAGACATAACTCGTGTGTTAGTGTATGGATCTCTCTGACATTGTAGCACAAGGTTCCAAATCATAAAGGGAATGCTGGGATTGATTTTGGGGGTAATTGCCTCAAAATTTGAGGAATTAGGGGCAAAAAAACAAGCAATTTTCTAGTTTCATGATAACAACTTGTGTGTAAGTGTATGGATCTTTCTGAAATTGAACTACAAGGTTCCATATCACAAAGCGAAAGCTTGAATTGAGTTTGGGGGTAATTGCCCAAAACATTTAGGAAAAAGGGGCCAAAAATAGCATTTTTTGAGTTTCCAGACAATAACTTGTGTTCAAGTGTATGGATCTCTCTGAAATTGTACTGCAAGGTACTATACCACAAAGGGAAGGCTGGGATTGATTTTGGGGGTAATTGCCTCAAAATTTTAGGAATTAGGGGCCAAAAAGGGGCAAAAAACAAGCATTTTTCTAGTTTCAGGACAACAACTTGTTTGTAAGTGTATGGATCTTTATGAAATTGTACTACAAGGTTCCATATCTCAAAAGGAAAGCTGGGTTTGAGTTTGGGGGTAATTGCCCTAAACGTTTAGGAATTTGGGGCCAAAAAGGGGCCTAAAAACAAGCATTTTTCTAGTTTCCAGACAATAACTTGTGTTCAAGTGTATGAATCTCTCTGAAATTGTACTGCAAGGTACCATACCACAAAGGGAAGGCTGTGATTGAGTTTAGGGGTGATGAATCATAAGGGGGTTCAAAAAATTTAGGGGAGGTATTTTTTTTTTCTTTAAAATTTTCCATTTTAAATTGGTTATTTCTGATTTATATATAAAAGCAAATAATAATGATATGGTTTGAATAGGTAAATTAAAATTTTTTAAGTTCTTAGACCACATTCATACTGTGTCAGAAACCTATGCTGTGTCAAATATATAATCACAATCCAAATTCAGTGCTGTATCAAGCTTGAATGTTGTGTGCATACTTGCCCCAACTGTTCAGGGTTCGACCTCAGCGGTCGTATGAAGCTGCGCCCAGCAGAGCATTTTATTGCATTTTGGGCAAATTCAATAGTAGTTTAAAAGAGAAACTGTAACCAGCCAAAATGATCAGCAATATGCATGATTTACAAATAGAACTAAGACATGAATGCTGAATTAGAATCCGGTCTATAATGTAAGAGAGTGGCCATTTTTGAAGATGCAAATAGATCCAAGTGAGTGACAGACCATTGTCTAGTTAAAAGAGCTTCCCTGAAACTACTGAACCAATTCAAACCAAAGTGACATGATCGATGGTGCTTAGTGGTGTGTAAAATATTGCTTAAATATTGTATGTCAATAAAAGACGAATTGAAACAAAAAAAGATCAGCATTTTAGTCGCATTGAGCCTGTAGTTTAACGTTTTGCTGTGACTGATAACCGCTTCATATCAGGAACAGTGCTGAACTTATATACTTTGTTATGTCTTTCTGACGAAGTTTTGTTTATCTTTAAAATGTCACAAAGAGTGGGTCATGAATTAAATTGACCACTGTCTCGAGTTACAGGGAGGACTGGGCACTAACAAACATTATTAACCCTGCCAGGTTCTGTATGCGTTTGTCCCATGTCATGGAGGATCAAATTGAGAATGGAAGCGGGGAATGTGTTAAAAGAGACAACAACCCGACCAAAGTGCAGAAAACAGCCCTTGGCAAACCAATGGGTCTTCAACGCATGTGCTGCTGTATTTCGGTGATTGTCGTTGGTTGCTGGCTTTCATATTTTATTTCCGTTTCTGATTCTGATAGTGTGTTTTCAAAACAAGAATCAAAAGAATTTGTAAAGATTTGGGGCGGTCCAGAATTGCTTGTACGATTTAATGCTAAACAATGATATATTATCCAATTAAAGGGGGCGTACGCATTCTACGCCCTCCCCCTTAATCCATACATAATTGGATTGAGGTGAGGGGATGGGTAGACAAGTGAACCCGCCCACCCTTATGGGACTACATGTCTCTTGCATATAGACTGTATGCCCCATTCCTGATGTTTTTTAGTGGTTCCCCCTTTTTTTTAAATCCTTGATCAGCAACGGATATGGTATATGAAACATTGATTGAAGATGAAAACAGGGTAAAATATGATGTAAAGCAATGCATATATATTACTCTTCAAGAGTTTTGAAAACACACATTGGAACTGGAGCAAATGCATGTAGGGCTGGCCTACATCTGTGGTAACATGCCTTTTCGTCATCAATACAAATAAACTTGTAGGATTATTTATCCAATGAAAGAAAAATAAATACCTATCGGATCGCTTGCCAACCCGTGTATTAAAAAAGTAAGATATGAAATAACGTATTAAGGGAAATCATGAATTTATACAAAATATATTCGTTCGTATATCTGCATATCCTAGCTTGTGTTTTCTACCGAGAGTTCAAATTTTTAAATTCATAATGAGAAAAATTATAATCAGTTAAACTGACAAATTCTTTGAATAGGAATAAACCATAAAGGTAATGAAAACCGTGTGTTAAACTTCAAACACAATACCAATAGCAAAGGTTACGGCTACAGCGATTATTAAAAAGAAATAGAAAGGGAGTCATAAAATTTAAATTGCATGAATTATAATATAATAGCTCAATCATTTATGACCTCGGAGTCAATACTTTCTATTTCTGTTTTCTGATATTTTCATTGCTTATTTTACTGTATACCGTTTTTACTATCAAATGCTACCCCCCCCCCCCCCCCCCCAAGAATAAAAATAAAGAAAAATGAAAATATCACCAAAAACCTTTGAAAAAAAGGATAATGCGCACGTTTCCGGACTAGTGTAACAAGAGAGAAAAAAACAACCGTACGTAAAATCATAGCTGTATAAAAAAAAACATACATCTATGGTAAAATCCAGGATTTGTATAGTGAAATAAAATCCTTGGTAAAATGAAACAGTCAGTCGAATACACCGCGGACCAAGTATAAGGTGTACATGAAGTATTGCAGATTAACGACAAACTATCTGCTATTAATTCGATCACACACACACACACACACACAAAAACAGAAAAAAACAAATTAATTAATAAAAAAAAACACTGTCAGTAATGGTTGTACCAGAGACATGTATTTATATGTCTCTGGTTATACTATCTACAACAGTATTATGGAGGAACGATGTGGCGCGTGGTTGTGATTCATACGCCGCCTAGATAAACAAAACTGTGTATTGACCTTTTAGTGATAGAAAAACAGAGTTCAAATATATAAATATTCATGTTATAACTTATTGTCATACTTCCGTCAAAACTTTTAAACCAATAGCATGACACAAATTATTTTTCGAACAGCTCTGATATTTTCTCATAAATTATAGTCAAACCCAGAGAGGTTCGAACGAAATCTTCCAAGCATAGTATCATTGGTTTCCTTCCCCCTTACTTACATTCCCCTGTCCACATGGTAAACAAAACTGTTACTGGGTTAACACAGAATAGAGATTGTCAAGTATAACATGTATGCACAGTGCAAAATATTATGAATTTATGTAAATGTTTTTAAACAAAGTCACATCTATTGGTTGGGTTAAATTACATCTTCATATATTTCTGAGTACAGACTGAGATTAATACTATGCATAATGCAGAGGAATTATAGTTATCTCGTACCATTGTAAACTCGTACCAATGTCAACTCGTACCACTAAAAAAAAACTCGTACCAATGTAAAATCGTACCAATGCTAACTCGTACCACGGTAAATTCATACCATTGTAAACTCGTACCAACTTATTTAAATGTATTCAAATGGTGTTTAATGATGAATATATAGTTTAATTTCACTCAATACCTCTTAAGTCTGTAAAATGTATATAATCTGAAATTACACTGACCAATTTATGCTAATTTTCCTTGTCTAATTGGATAGAGAAAACCGTGGCAGATTGGCTTTGTTGTCTCCCTTGAACAGACCCTTTTTTTTACTTTTACTGACAACTATTTGATTTAATTTTTAATCATTCCAAATAAGTAACATTGAATAGATTTGGGTATTTTTCTATTGTTTCTAAAAGGAATTTTATTTAATGAGAGAATTTATTTCTTGTGTTTTAAAGGTTTAAAATTGGTTATGACCAACAGTTAGAAAGTATGAAATTTATTTTTATACAATATTCAGCTCATTGTTGCACAAAATCATGATTAAGACCATGCTTTAATTCATATAATCAAAAGGTCATTATATTCCCGATTTATATACATGTATAACACCTGTAGCCGAAGATACACCTCGCTCCAGCAACAGAGGAAAATAACTGATATCTGAAAAGGCACCTGAGATCACCCGCAGTTTCAAGTGGGGTTCGTGTGGCTTTTAATTCCAAGCTGTTAAATTATATAACAACAATCAAAATTTAATAATATGATTAACAAGTTGACTAGTTAATAATAACCCAATAATCATACAATCAAAGGAATTTAATATATCAATTAGCATGGTAATTAAGGAATTACATTCGTATTTTTGTCTAAGTTTTCATTAAAATCTGGTATAAAATTCAAGTAATTCAACTTTTTTATTAAGATTACAAAAAAAAATCATAAAACATTCGTATTTTTGAATATATTTTTAATGGTACGAGTTTGCAGTGGTACGAGTTCTGAATGGTACGACTTCCCAGTGGTACGAGTTTACGTTGGTACGAGTTAACTTTTTTGGTACGAGTTTACATGGTACGAGTTTACAATGGTACGAGTTAACTTGCTTCCATGCAGAGACATGTATAGTATCACTGAGAGACACACACATATATATATATATATATATATATATATATATATATGTATATATATGTCTCTAATAGTATAGAGTGTCTCTGCTATATGTTATAGTATATATTTCTCAGGTACAGTCAAACCTGTGTAAAGGAAAAATTTTAAAGACCTACACAATAAAAATGCCTACTGTGGTTCAAAAAGTTAAGGTTCATGTGGACCCTTCGTCTAAAATGGCTGCATTTTCACCTCAAAATTTACTCTGAGTACAGACAAACCTGTGCATCTGGAAAAGTTTTAAGGCATAGCATGCCCTAGATAAATAAAATTCAAATATATTTTATGTTTTAGAAAATTAAAAACTTTACCGGATTTTGCAGTGCACTTTTTTTCAATCCTCCAGAAGGTGCCAAAATAAACTAAGTTGGGAAAGAGGTTTGAGAACTTCCCCACAGGTAATAATTGAAGTGAACTGTTTTGATTGACATGGACAATAGATACCTGACAATAATTGGTGATTTAAACTGTGTACCTGAGTGGACCATATCAAGTGAAACTCAACTGTTTGTTAATTTTATCATCTTCTACAGGGACGAAAAAAAGTGCACTGCTAAATCCAGTTAAGTTTTAAATTTTCTAAAACATACAATGCATTAGAAGTTTATTTATCTAGGGCATGCTATGCCTTAAAACTTTTCCAGATGCGCAGGTTTGTCTGTACTCAGAGTAAATTTTGAGGTGAAAATGCAGTCATTTTAGCCAAAGGGTCCACATGAACCTTAAAGGGGCATTTAATTTAGCTGTCAATTTTATGTTCATCATGTTCAATATGTTTGACTCAAATTCTCATATTTGATTTATAACATACTAAAACGTATATCCAAATTACTAAAAGTCTAAAATAAACAATTAACAAGCATGGACTCGATAATATGTATCAGCATTTCGTGTGTATTTTTGTCTAGGCGCCATCTAATTTAACTATCAAGAATAGATGACCTCAAAAGACTGCTGACGGTCATATAACCCGATTTAAACATAAATATGAATATAAACAGAAAGTGACCACGTGCAATTGGATTTTTCTTAGCCTGTTTGATTTCATATTGTACATTAAAAAGTATGTTTATCATCATTTTTACCTACACATAAGAATGATTTTTTTGTAGATCGAATCAGTCAACCTAATGATTCATCCTTGTTTTAATTTCAATGTTGACATTCTTTTCCTTTTAATAGCTGAATACATGCGTAACCCATGTCCAGCAAAAGGGATAAATTGAAGGTCACATGAATACATATTCAATGATGTCGAAATTATTCACTTGCAAGTGAATAATTCATCAGCAATGTTTTTTTAGCTTATTTTGACAAAATTGAACCAAATTGGCTGCTAAAAACAAATGATTATTTCACTATTCAGGGGTTAAAAAAAACACTAGCCCGACGACCGGGGCTACAGCATTTACGCTTCGGGAAATCAAAACTTGTAACCCAATATGCCCGACGGACTAGTAACAAAAAATTCTTGGCGTTTCCAAAATAGAAAGTGGAAAATCCCCTCATCACTATTCTTTCTTAGCCAATCAGATTCAATTACTAGTACGTCATCCGGGATTCCAAGAATTTGAACTGATTTTGTACATGTTTTAAAAATAGAACAAATAACTCTTGGTGGACCGGTATCATGTATTGATCGCAATTCCCGTACTTTCAATATCGATTTCTCAGTACAGGGGGTATTGTACATTGCTTATGCCGAGATTTTCAATTACCGGTAACGATACTTGGGCCAGTGGGGGTATGATGCATTGATCGATATTGACCTGTCATGTCGAACAGCTGTTGAGCACTAAACCATCTAACAAAATATTTGAAATATTTTAGTACGGACACCCCAGGAACTTGGTCAGTTTCAAAACAAAAAACGGTAGATGAAGAGGGTAATGAGGCTGAAAATTCATCCCAAAAAAGGGCCAAATACAACCGGGAAAAGCGGAAAAGAACATTTATAGTGTCATGGACAAAAAGATTTCCAGGGCAAGGTCGGCTGTTGCTGATGATAAGCCAGAGACAATGTTTTGTGAATATTGCCGTTATTTTCCCGATCATGCTAATAAAAAGTCTGCTTTGTATGCGGGAACAAATATATGATTTGAACCACTGGTTCCATACATGAATGACAAGACCAATGAACATGTTTTCTGTAGTTTATCATGGTGATCAGAGATAATCTTAGGTAAACACTCGTGCAAAAAGAATGTCATGCAGTGACTGGAAATTTAATTACACGTGTATTATCGGATTAACTCTTCAATCCATTTAAATCCCCGAGGTCCTGTAAAATATTTAACAACCCATAGTACAACGGATAGAAATTAACAAGTTTAAAGAAGTCATTGTATTATGCAGCAAACTCTGAATTTGTAAGACATACTCGGGCTAGCAGGTCAGTTTTGATGGGCTTACAGTTCTTTCAACAGGGCTAGTAAATCCTGCTTCCAATAAGTCCTGGGCTAGTGAGCTGTAACAAAATTTTTTAACCCCTGCTATTTCACTTTCATTATTATTGTTAATTGAACAAAAAAAAATCATATTTAAATTTTTATATATCTCATAGCTAACATGGCTAATGCCCCTTAAGCTTTAACACTTGGATTTTGTGTGCATTCTATCTTTTCTATACCGAAGGTGTAAAATAAATTGTGTTGGATAAAATGAGATTTCCACAGTCTCTGGTTGCAATTTGTATCTATTTGTTTTGACTTATATGTCAAAAGAGCTAAGGGGAAATCCATACATGCATCTGCACAACTATAGGACTGGTGATTTAAAAAAAGAGACAGGAGATACCTAGGGGACAAAAAAAAATTATAAGACCATCAGATCATGCATGATTGATCAATGAAAAAAATCTCAACTCAAGATCTTCGAAGCTTTTAAAACTGAGAATAGCATGTGAGATTAGTTATGAAGAAAAAAGGAAAACTTTTGAGAGTTATTCCTCTGTCTTTGTTTCTAATTGTAATAATCTTGATCATGGTGGATGAAGAAGGTTCTTATACCACCTAAAAAGAAATCATGGCTGTTTGACAAATTCAACAATGGGGATACCACATGCCTTTTGCAAAGTCTGCAATAGAGACCACAATGATGAACATGGTAGCCTGAATGACATTTCAAATGCATGCAAGGACTTAACTTCATCAGATTGCTCATGTTGCTAGAACACTACCAATATAAAATAAGGAGATGTGGTACATGTATTATTGCCAATGAGACAACTATCCACCAAAGTTCAAATGAAGTGGATGTAAGCAAATATAGGCTTTCAACAATGAGAAAAACCCATACTGTATAGTCGTCAATAAAAGACCCCGACATGAAAAAATATGAAACAATTCAATTGATAAAAAACAAACGGCCTAATTTATTACAAAACTATTTATGAAAAGCAAATATGACAGACATGAACCAATGACAACCACTGAACTACAAGCTCCTGCTTTGGGACAGGCACATGAATGTGGCGGGGTTAAACATGTTTGTGAGCGCTCAACCTTCCCCTAAGCTGGGACAGTGGTGTCACAGCACAACATAAGAACAAACTATAAAAATAGTTGAAAATGGCTTAACTCATCAGATCGATACAAAGCAGAAAAACATTTATCATACATTAACAGCCCAACAGATATCGCTAGCCTGTATTTGTATACTATACAGATATCGCTTTAAAGCTACGCCCACTGCCAGACTAATTTTGTGTATTGCTGTTGACGAGTGTTGTATGAACTTTCGTGACCTCTAAATGTGTATTGCAGTCGCATTCCAATAACGTATTGCTTGAACTTATATGAACTATAGACTAATTTACGTTCTGTTTGTTTTCAAGCATTGCTTTAGAGCAATATGAAATAAAAATGAAAATATTTTGTCTTCCATTTAATTTTATATGTCATAAATGCATTACATGTGTAACACACAAAATCAACCATGCAACACTGTCAATAATCAGTGAATGTCACGTTCAGTTCGAAATTCTGAAGCGTAGGACAAATCATACACTTTTGTCTTAAATTGGACAATGTTTTGTTATTTCTTTTTACTGTTGAAATTAGTTGTTATGTTATAATAAATAATTATTAACTTTGAGTGATGTATTATTGTTGACCATGCAAGATTCTTTTCTGCGTACCGGTCATCAGCTGATTGTGTGATTTTTTTTTTAATATAACTACTCGGGCCTCATATAGGTATAATAAACAAAAACTAATATATTTTAAATCAAAAATAAATGCAATAAGTGTGAGTTTTTCTGTCTTTCAAAGCAAAAACAATGTACAAAATTTATTGCAGGATGAAGACAATAACTGTTTAGTGTTTTTAAATATCAGCTGTATTTGTTCTGGGCTCAAAACAGGAGTAATAGCTCGCTAAAGCTAGCGTTACTCCTGTTTCTTAGTTATTGTCTATATAAACATATTACACCAACATCCTAAGCATGTTACAAGTTAGCAGGACTGCAATATTTAAAAGTGATCTAATATTTAGTAAAATTTAAATTGAGTAAATAGATAAATTAATGCAAAAAGTTAAATAACTTAAAGTTCTTCTTTTTTTTTATAACAATAATGAGAATACATGTAAATGTAATAGGTACACTTTATCATGTTTACACTTGTACGCAGTAAAAATAAAGAGTTATAGTTCTTGGCATTATTCTTCAATCAAATTTGTGATTTCTGAAGCTATTTCATCTTCAAACAATTAAAAAGTTTCATTTTTTCACTGATTTTGACTTGTTTGTGTTTTTGGTGTTTAGGGGTAAATTTATGGACCTTTTTCCAGGGTTGATCTCTGGTGATCCAGAATTGGTAAGCAGATCATGTCTCATTAGAGGCAACAGTAGTGTTACAAATGGCAAGTGATGAAAGAAAGAAAAACGAATCTCGAAGTGCCCTAAATGATTTTCTGAAACTCAAAATGCATATAGTTTTATAAAATTGAATCTTCGTCCTGCCAGGCCATAACATTTTTCTTGTTTTAAATGTTAGTTTGAACTCATATGAATTTAGTTGTGTTATCACAGCCATTTTTACCAAATGGTTATGCTGGACCTTAAAATTGATAAAATCATCAGAATTGGTAGACGGTTCCATTGGTTTTGTGTACTATGGCCCCTAAATAAAGTCTTCAATAAAATGTCGGGGAATAAAACAAGAGTGAAAGATATTTAAAAAAGTTTAATATATATTATAATCTGTCCTTTGTAGACATACCCATCTTATATCGCACAGCTATATCAAAATAATATTATATGCTAATACAACTGTTTTGATACTAGATATGCTAATCATTAATGTATCTTTGCTTCTCCTCTGTTGAATACAAAACCATAAGACTGTCAGAGTTACTATTTGACTGAATGCATCTGATGGAGCAGAACAAAGTTTACTATTTTGAATAGAATTCTGCTCTTGCATACCCTGAAATTCAAAAGAAATATATAATTTCTTGCACATTCAACAAAAACAGAACTTAATTTCATACAAGTAGTTTGAACTATAAGCTTAATCATTGCAACATTGTGCAAGTGTCAATATTCTTGAACTTTGTTGAATCTAAAATTGTGACTTAATATCAAGTTTCTTTTCTCATAATCATGATAATTTCCAACATAAAAAGATAAAAATTATAATATATAAAAGTCAAGATAATGTCAGTATACTAATTCCTGAATATCTCAAAGCTTTATTTCTGCTAGGGTGTATAAATTCTGAGCTGCCCTATTTAGATTGTTAAAGTGCAAGAAAATGTGTGTAAATATATGCCACAAAAACCTCCCTCTTTACCTATAAAAGTCATATGTCAAAAGGTAGAACACACAATAAAGAACCTGCACTGTTAAGCTAAGAACAGGTAGACTTTGTCAATGTACGTACAGGGTTAAAAAAGAAAATAAGTGACAATTAATTTCGTCAGTAGGGTCAAAAGGTGCTCGTTACTACAGGAGGCTGGTTGAAGGAAGCAACAGCTACTGGTTGAATACCGCAGCTCAAGAAAAAATAAAATAGAAAAATCAATTCTTTCAGGCTTCATGAAGTTGTATCATGAATCTAATTGAAATCAGCCATTTTTGTGAGAAGCCAGTAGGTGTTTTTGAAATCACAAGACTGTCAGAAGAAATAATCGTTTTAACTAAAATAGGTGGTATGTCAGACCTGCACGTCTTGCTTTTGAAAGATGTAAGAACTTTCCTGTGTTTAAATATTTTTGGACATTTAATACGACAGAAGGTATCTTGAGAAATACTGTCTAATTTTAATTTTTTAAGAGAAACTTCTTTAAATATGATATGCTGATAGCCACTTACATATTTTCAAAGAATTTTTTTTATTTAAAAGTATGTGGTATCTGTTATCCTATAAATGGAACTTTTGTGTAAGAGTTTATTGAATTCCTAAATAACAAATAAACATGAAAACTAGCATGGGATTATTAAAGGACTGCTGTGACCCATCGTCCTATAATTATAGGACTTTATTCAAATACTAATAGTCAGTCTTGGCTTTACATGTCTTATTTAATTATTATATTTTCCTTTGATATAACAATATGTATTGCGGAATAACATTTTAATTTTATGGCTATTAAAAATGGTTGAAAAGTCTTTTAAGTATATCATTAAGTGTCTTTGATATTAAAATACCTTTGAGTTTCAACTACTTTCTGATATTAATCATTTGAATGACACTAATACAGGGGAAATTAGTCTACTCTCTTTGTACTAGGTGAGTATTTTTTCCCCATTTCAGATAGGGTTGCAGCTCAAGTCTGATATCTGTTAATTGATAAAAGGAAGAATAGTGAATAAAGGCAACGAAGGATAAAAGTCATTTGGCTATAAACATGATAAACAAAATAAGTGTTTATTTTAAATTTGTTTTGGAATTTTTAATTATTATTTATTTTTGTAATTGAATTTCTTAGAAAGGATCCTGCTATCAGTTTTATTTTTTTCCTCAGATTTTCTGTAGCTTTTGTCATTGCTGAAAAAAAGAGGATTTTTCAAACACATTACTATGACCAACCAGAGCTTTCAATACATTTCTAAGTATGTATCAAAATTCAAAGGCATTTTTGTGTCTAAACTCACTTTTTGATATACATTATGTCAAATTTCCGTTATCAGTATGCTTTGCTTAGACTTTTTGAAAAACTTTAAAATTTCCTAGATTCTTGTGGTCAACGAGTGTTTATTGGTAATCAGTGTGATCTTCAATGACTTATGTAATAGTATTGTTTGTGATAGCAGTAGGACAAATCGTTTGTGTTAATTCCCTAAAGCATTTTTGACAAAACTGTAAACATTGATATACTTAAAGATAACTTTTTGATAAATCAGATTTAAAAGAATCTATTAATTGAAAAAAATCAGTCAAGCGAAATTTCCAGAATTTTTAATGTTAATTTTATGTATGGTTATCAGGTGGGCTTTACAAAAGTGAAGTGACTTTAACATGTTTATAGTACATTTCTTCTCAAAATTTGAAATAGAGGTTATGTGATAATGTTTTGTAAGAAAGTTGATGTTTTCCTTATATGGAAAAATCCTCTTAATGATATACAATAATAATATATAACCATCTTGATTATGATTATGTGGATGCATTTGACTTATAAATGTATGTATAACTTATAAAAACTTATTGCAAATTCATATTTTGTTTAGAATGAAAAATTGCAGTCATGTTTTATAATTTAACAGAAAATCGTTTGAGGTGTGATGCACCTGTTGTGAGTGTACTTTATAAAACAATTTATGTTTAAGATGTACAGGTATAAAGTTAATGCTTTAGTTAGATTTGTCCAAGTCATAACCAAGATATTATTGTAAAAATCAAAGTTTAGATTTCATAAAAAAGGCATTGCACAAGTTTGTTTTTCAGCAAGAAATGCTGTGCCATTCCCTAGGTTTTTTTTATGGGAAATCATTGCCCAGTTTTGGGGTTTCTTCAATTGAGGGTTAATATAGTTGATTTGACAAATGATTTTCCTGCTAAATTTAACTTTTTGAGCATCTTGATTTGGTTTAATATCTTCCAGTATAGTTGAATCAGGCAGGTTTGGGCAATAATTGCTTAAATTGTCAAAAGGGGTAATTCTGGAGACCTTTGAAAATGCTGAAAGACTCTGCTCTTCTTGAAATCTTTGCAAACATTATGCATAAACACCATTAATTTTGTAATGTTCTTGGTTTATTTCTGCAAGTTTTTACTCCTATCATATGACTATTGTTGTCAAGTTTTATTGACAGAATTAGAAACGATTGGATATTTGTATTGTTGTTTGACAACAGTTATTGGAAAGCTGATTGTATGTGACCATATAAAACTTTACAAAATGATGAATAATATAAATAGTAATTGTTAAATAATGATTCAACTACAATCCCTATTGATTGGGATATTTGTACACAAAATAAACTTGAGATAGGGAATTTTAGAATTAAAAATGTATAGTTGCAGAAAATTCAATATTAATTGGGTAAAATGATAGATCCTTTTTCTCTAAAGTTTTAATGAAAAACAATGAGTATGATATTCTGAACAGATTTGGCAGGAAATCACATAGTCAAGACCATTTAATAAATGTGCAGTTTGTCAAAAAAAATTCTTAATTGGTTAGAAAGAGAATAAGTTATCACAATAATATAAAAAGACATGCTTTTAATTTTTCAGGTGATAAGTAACCTTGCAAATTAAGCAACAAGTATGGCAGAACAGAGAGGTGTTCCGTATGATAGAGGATGGGCCTGGATGATTGTTGTTGGTAAAGGAAACGTTAATTATCAAATTATTTAAGGACTTGTTGCTGTATCATGTACAGATTTATATACAGACCAACAACACCACCCTGTTATATGGATGGCATCTAATTTAAGGATGTAAGAAGTAAAATTCTGTTTAAAAAAAAAATAGTTTCGTTAAGTGCATTATTTCCAAAGTAAAACAAAACTTATTGAAGATGGCCATTACATAACTTGAAAATGATATTGATAAAATTATGACAAAGCTTTATTTTAATCTGCCTGTACCTCTAATAGAATACTTATGTATATATATATATAATTACTCTAAATATCAGCACAACAATGTTAAATCTGCAAATTTGCGAAAGCAAATTTTTGTTCTTCCCTCGCTGGGATTCAAACTCATGCTATTGAGATATCGAGACAACACCGCCTGCACTGTGTCCAGTACTCTAGACAGCTCTGCCACGTAGACTGAACATACATCTAAATATGTGACAACTTTACGACAGACAATTTCCATCGGATAACTTGTGATTATACTGGGTTTGTCTCAAATTTATCCCAACAATTTTAAATCTGCAAGTTTGCAAATTTTTGTTCTTCCCTTAACGGGATTGGAACCACTGCATCTGAGACATCGTGACAACACCACCTGCACTGTATCCAATGCCCTAGACCACTTGACCAACTAGGCTATATAAAAAATATAGCTTTAGTTAGTTTAGTAATGCCTTTCCTAATCTGGGTTTTCTAGGGTTGTAACACAGTACATGATGTACACTGATGATGTATATAGTGGCAAGTAGATGGTATACCTTGCAGATCAGCTGTTTTTATACGACCGCAAAAAAATTTGCGGTCGTATATTGGTTTCACGTCGTCGGCGTCGTCCGAAGACATTTGGTTTCCTGACAATAACTTACAGTTTAAGTGTATGGATCTCTATGAAATTAAACCAAAAGGAAGGTTGGGATTGTTTTTGGGGGTGATGGTCCCAACCGTTTAGGAATTAGGGGCCAAAACAAGCAATTTTTCTAGTTTCCGGACAATAACTTGTGTATAAGTATTTTGATTACTCTGAAATTGTACCACAAGGTTCAATACCACAAGTAGAAGGTTGGGATTCATTTCGGGGGTAATTGTCCAAACTGTTCAGGAATAAGGGGCCAAAAAGGCTCTATAAGCATTTTTCTAGTTTTCAGACAATATCTTGTGTTTAAGTTTATGGATGTCTCTTAATTTGTACCACATTTTACAAAAAGAAAATTTCTTCAAAATTATTTTTTTTGGAAGGGGGGTAAATTTTTTTTTTTGAGGGGGGGGGGGCAATTTTTTTTTACCTCAAAAGAAAATTCTTTCCAAATATTATTTTTTTTGGAAGGGGGGAGGGTAAAAAAAAAATTGTTTTTTGGGGGTAAATTTTTTTTTTTGAGGGGGGGGGGGGCAATTTTTTTTTACCTCAAAAGAAAATTCATTCCAAATATTATTTTTTTGGAAGGGGGGGAGGGTAAAAAAAAATTTGTTTTTGGGGATCAATTTTTTTTTCTTAAAGATTTAAGAAATTGTCAATTTTCCAAAGAAAAAAATTGGGGGTCACAATTTATTTTGCTAATTCTTTGTATATAGTCTGAAAACAGATTTACTAAGTATTGCGCAACAGCACAGTGTATTGCACAACAGCAAGAAATCTTCAATTGAATATCAATTCAAATCATACAACTAATTTCAAGTTCTTTAACTACATTTATTCTGTGTCAGAAATATTTAATTACAATCCAAATTCAGGCCTGTATCAAGCTTGAATATTGTGTCCATTTTTGCCCCAACTGTTCAGGGTTGCACCTCTGCGGTCGTATCCAGCTGCGCTCGGCGAAGCAGTTTATTTTATATGTATATATATACATTGTATGAAGGGCTAGATATAATTTAAAATCTTATTCATCTTTTTAATGAAGGTCATAAAATAGTACTTTTTCCCATTGATGCCATCAATGGGTTTCTCGTTTTTTATATAGATTAGACCGTTTTTTTTTCTGTTTGAATTGTTTTACACTAGTCATTCTGGGGCCCTTTATAGCTTGCTGTTCTGTGAGAGCCAAGGCTCCGTGTTGAAGGCCATACTTTGACCCATAATTGCTTACTTTTTACACATTGTGACTTGGATGGAGAGTTGTCTCATTGGCACTCATACCACATCTTCTTATTTATATTTATATTTATATTTTATTTTCTGAATCCAGATTTGACTTTAATTGCAGCTTGTGCTTTTCAACTGGTTTGATATATTAAAGAGCGGTGATGTGAAGTTTTATTATCCCTCAGTTGTTCCACACTAATTTGCTTTTAATAATTACTTTGTGTAAAAATTATGGTTATTGTCTCGCCTTGACGGAGTCAAAAAGCGAGACATAAGTATGCTGTTTCCTGCAGGAGCAGTGGCAGCGTCAACAGTGTATTAGTTTGTGATTAGTTAAGTTTATGGGGAACCACTAGCGGTAGGTCATTGATATTTGGTATGCAGTTGTATTAGCATTGGCACATCTCATTTCCGTGTGATTATTTGGCCCTGCCCCCTCAGTCATGGTCTAGTGACTTTGAAACTTTTGCTTAGTTTTCATATATTAGTTTGTGATTAGGTCAGTTTATAAGGAACCACTAGTGGTAGGTCATTGATATTTGGTATGCAGTTGTATAAGCCTTGGCACATCTCATTTCCATGGTGATTGTTTTGCCCCCACTTCCTCAGTCATGGTCTATTGACTTTGAAACTTTTGCTTAGTTTACATGTATTAGTTTGTGATTAGTTCAGTTTATGGGGAACCACTAGTGGTAGGTCAATGATATTTGGTATGCAGTTGTATTATCACTGGCATATCTCATTTCTTGGAGATTTTTTGGCCCTGCCCCTCAGTCATGGTCTATTGACATTGCAACTTTTGCTTAGTTTACATGTATTAGTTTGTTATTAGATCAGTTTATGGGGAACTACTAGTGGTAGGTCAATGATATTTGGTATACAGTTGTATTAGCATTTCCATGGAGAATTTTTGGGGCTGGACCTTCAGTCATGGTTCATTGACTTTGAACATTTTGCATAACTTACATGTTAAAGCAAATGCTATTTTAATTTCAACATTTGCATTTTACTATCAAAATAACAAAAAGGCTAGACATATCTTTGTGTCAACAGTTTATACTTCTCACAAACTTGTAACGACCTGAAGTTTCATTTAGAAATTAAAGATTTTACCTCAAAAAATGAAACACATTTAAAAGAGATGCTCTGTAGGAGCTTATCATTTTAGCAATATGTATAAATAAGTCTTACATGTCTTAAGTGGCCATGGTTTATTAAAATTTTACTATCAAAATAACAAAAAGGCTAGACATATCTTTGTGTCAACAGTTTATACTTCTTTCAAACTTGTAATGACCTGAAGTTTCATTTAGAAATTAAAGATTTTACCTCAAAAAATGAAACACATTTAAAAGAGATGCTCTGTAGGAGCTTATCATTTTAGCAATATGTATAAATAAGTCTTAAGTGGCCATGGTTTATTAAAATTTTACTATCAAAATAACAAAAAGGCTAGACATATCTTTGTGTCAACAGTTTATACTTCTCACAAACTTGTAATGACCTGAAGTTTCATTTAGAATTTAAAGATTTTACCTCAAAAAATGAAACACATTTAAAAGAGATGCTCTGAAGGAGCTTATCATTTTAGCAATATGTATAAATAAGTCTTAAGTGGCCATGGTTTATTAAAAACTTACATCCACATTAAAACAATAGTGTTCTCAAATCTAATGTTCATTATACTTTGTTTGGTTTTTTTTTGTGATAAACACACAAATGTTAGATTTGACAGAAAGTTTATTTAAGAAAGTTTGGGTTTGAGCAAAAAATGGGAGAATTATTTTATGTATGCCAAAATGTAGACTTTATTACACTATTTAAACAAATATATCATAGATATTCCATGTCACAGAGTTTGTTTCAAACTATAGCTAGTTCACAATCCTCTTACTTTATAGAGATTATATAAAAAAACACAAAATCATATGAACTGAAAGAACAACTAGATGATAGAATTACAGAATGAAAGTTTGATGAGATAATTATCATTTAATACTTCTAAAAAGAAAAAGACATTCCATAAGCTAGATTTAATTTATGAGGATTTTTAACAGTTAGAAGTTTCTATTAAGTATTTCAAAATCAGTGATAACTTCAAAAATGTTTATAAGATGCAAGTACTAAGTAATTGATCTTTGATTCAACCATACTTTTGATATCAGACCTGTTTGAAAAGCTGGGGAAATCTAAAAGCTTCTAAAACTTGCACCATGAATAAAATTTATTATCAACTCTTAGACTTAGGTGTTATAATAGTTGATGTAAAATGTTTTTTCCATAAGTTTCACTATTTGAAATCTAATAATTTTATTTCTTGTAATATGTATTTTTTATTTCAGGTTATTTTGCCAGTAGTTTTATCATGGTGGGAGTGGCTAAATCATATGGTATACTGATGAAGCCACTAATGGAAGAGTTTGATGTTGATATTACAATTGCCTCCCTTGGAATGGCAGTTGGTGCAGGAATTTATACACTGGCTGGTATGCTAAGATTTAGTGATAATTTGCTACCATTATTATTGTGTGTTATTCTTGACTGATAATATCTGTATCTTTTAAGTAATTGAAAATAATATACACATTTCATTTGCACTCATTACCAAACAAAATAGAAATGTTTAGTGAGACTTAACCATTTCTAAGTCTTATATAATTATATCATACATGTAATTCTCCTGTTATTAGATAAAAATCATGCATTCAATAGTCCACTTCTGTCTTTCTGCTCAATGCATTATCTATTTGAAACTCCTGGTATGTGAAAGTATAACCTAAATCATTGAAGCCTGAGGCAACCAATGATTCATCTGAACTGATTGGTCAATTAAAAAAATATTCTACTCAGAAACAAATGATTTGAAACTTCAAGGTGATATAGGTTTGAAGACTTCTACAAATGTTCCTTAAATTTTAATGTTGAAAGAGCTGCAAACATTACAGCATGGTGACACATAACAGTATTGGTGAAACAATATTGAAAATCACATCCATCACTCATCATATTCCTGTTTTCTGAATGCTTATGGTGGTGTTACCATTAGTCAGCAACATCTCACAGTTCAACTTGTTTTTCTGACCAAAAATTGGCCAGTAAAGACAGGAACTTGAACATTGTAATTGTTTATCTGCCTCCTGATTAGAAAAAAAGGCTAACAGATAATAATGATAATAATATAATTAAGTGTTTACATTACTAAATGTCTATATGTCACCAAACAATATTACTTCATTATATTATCTATGTACAGTAGCTGCAATACATTTAAAAGATCTTATTCAATTAATCAATGGGCATTAGTAAAAATCAAAAAGAAATTGAAATATGATAAACAGTGAATGGTCATGAAGGTATCTCTGTAGAGAGAAATAGTGCAACATAAAACCAAGTACAATGTTGAATTATGAAATTAATTTTCAAAACATTTTCAGCACCAGTCTTTGTTGCTCTCGGTCAACATTTTACAGAGAGATCTGTTGTTATGTTTGGAGCTGTCTTTGCATGTGTCTTCATCTCCTTATGTTATTTCAAGATCGGCATTTGGTATTTGATTTGGATGTATGGTATAGGAGCAGGTAAGCTTAAATCTTAACTGAAGAACAAATTTATTGCAAGAAAATTATAATTGATTAGTTTTAACTCATCTACCCTTAGTCCAGAATGCTCTTTTGCAGTTACATGGCTTCGTTCATGCACGAACTCTTTCAAAGATCTCTGAAACCATCCAACAAATAGAATTCAAATTAAAAATTATTGATCTTTAGAGTTACTAAATTGTAGTTTGTCAATTATATAAAGGCCTCTCAACCAACTTGGCGCCTCCATAAAATACAAAACATAATGGTGAAATGCTAGTAATTGAAATTGTAATTTTGAAAACCATAATAAGGAAAATACAATCTTGACATTATAGGAGTTATTGTCCTTAAATGACTGTTTTTGTCCTGCCTTGACAGAATCAAAAAGTGAGACTTTGTATGCTGGTTCTGGCATTGGCAGCCGCAGTGTCAACACTTTGTTAAAGTTTGTGATTGAGGCAGTTTAAGGGGAATTACTAATGGTAAATGAATAATATTTGGTTTGCAGTTTTATAAGCATTGGCACTTCTCATTGTATTTATGTTAAGTTTATTACCATGGAGAATTTTTGCCCCTGCCCCCTCAGTCATGGACTATTGACTCTGAAACTTTTGCATAGTTTACATGTTAAAGTTTGTGATTATGTCAGTTTAAAGGGAACCACTTACAATAAGTCAGTGATATTTAATATGCAGTTGTATAAGTATATATATGCACATCTCATTTCCAAGGAGATTATTGACTACGAAACAATTTCATAGCTTAAAAGTTAAAGTTTGTTATTAGGTTAGTCTAAGGGGAACCACTTCTCATTAGTTAATAATATTTGGTATGCAGTTGTATTAGCATTGGTTCATCTCATTTCCATGGAGATTATTTGACCCATCCCCCTCAGTCTTGGTGTTTTGACCCAGAAACTTTTGCACAGTTTACATGTTTAAGTTTGTGATCAGGTCAGGTAAAGGGGAAGCACTTACGAAAAGTAAAAGACCTTTAGTCTGCAGTTGTATTAGCATTGGCACATCTTATTTCCACAAAAAATTATTTGGTCCTGTGCCTTCAGTCATTGTTTATTGTCTTTGAATATTTTGCATAATTTACATGTTAAAGTATTGCAATTGTATTTTAACATTTACATTTTTACTATCAAAATTACATACAGACATATCTCTGTTATAACAGTTTATTTACCATATTTAGGACATATGCCTATAAACTTGTAAACTATACTATATTAACAGAAAGTGTAAACACAAAATATACAATAATGCTAATAACACAGAATTTATTACCAGCTTGACTGTCAATGACTGAATTAATGAATCTTTAGTTGCAGAAGCAAACATTATGCTACAGCAAAATAACATAATATATATTTATAGTAACAATATAAATGTCAGTATACAGAGAACAGCATGATGGATATGATAGTCATAGCAAGCATAGACATACAACAGTTATGCAATTATAAGTTGTAATCTTAGCTTCCATGCCACATTTCAAAATTTACACAATTTTTCTGCTTATTTCTATGAGCTAGCTTGCAAAAGAAATACAAGTTTTCTTTTACAATAATACAGGATATGTATGTACTTACATCAGTTTACTGACTAGAAGCCACACTTAAGGATGTTAGCTACTTTTGCTTTTGATTTTTTTGTCAGATATTCGAATCCTCTAGTTTTATCTATGTAATGCCAATAAATATTTTTCCCTTAAACCTCTACTTTTCTTTTTATAATTTTGTTACATATAGTTTTAAAAGCCATATTTGAAAATCTTTTAAAATCTTTGTTATTTTTTCATAATTTTAGAAAGAAAAAAGGTGCCAATGTTAAATGTATAAAAAAATCTAAAGAAAATCACTTCCCGCCAAATTTTCAATGGTTTATATCTCGAAAACAAGCCCACGGACCCTTCATTTTTTTCAGCTTCTTTAGTTCCTTTATTCATAAACTTTTAATTTGTAACAGTATTTTAAAGAGCTTGTTATTTTGAAGCAGAAGCGAACATCCTTAAATCAACAGTTAAGGATAATTTGAATAATTTTATCTGTTTAAGGAATTGGAAATTCCTGTTTATTTGGAAATGGTCTAGTGATGATTGGCAGCTATTTCAAAAGAATTCGTACAGTTGCTAATGGTGTTGCATTGTCAGGAGCTAGTGTTGGAACATTTGTTATTCCTCCACTAATGGAGTTCTTATTGCAGACATATGGACTACCAGGAACGTACCTTATCTTGGGGGGTTTATATTTATCTGTAGCTGTTTGTGGGGCCCTCTACCGTCCATTAAAATTTTATACAACTGAAAGAAAAGCAGGAGAAAACGATGAAAAGCATAAATTACTAAAAGAAGATCTGAACGATTCTACAAGAAAGAGGACAAATGTTGTTCAGGAAAAAGAAAATCAAGTGGTTAGCAACACATGTGAACCTTATACAGATTTGGAAATCCAGATTGATACAGAAGTGAATCGAGAGAAATCTGTGTCATTTGTTACAAGCACTGGTTCATTAGTTATGGGATCAATGGAAAGTTTGGCACAAGTCGTACAGGCAGATGAATCCAAGAAACTGTCTAATAATATCACAATCAAAATCTGTGGAAAATCTATAGTTATTCCAAAAATATTTCATTTTTCAGTGCTGAAAATGCCGGAGGTTGTGTTTTATACAATTTTCTCGTTTCTTGTTTTCTTTGGATATTTTAATTTTATCATTTTTATGCCATTAGATGCTGCCAGTAGAGGATTTGAAAGTTTCCAAAAAGCATGGCTCGTTTCTTGTGCTGGTATAGGGGATCTCATTGGAAGAATAGTTGTGGGAATCGTAGGAGATCTTAGAATAATAGAACGATATAAAATAATTGGTGCCACCTGTATATTTTGTGGTATAAATATATTAATATTCAACTTTGCTACTGTATTTTGGTGGTGCGCTATACATACAACACTGTATGGATTTTTTGGAGGTGCCTATGTTGCCCTGACCTCAATTGTATTGATTGATATGGTTGGATTAGAGATTATGCCCAAAGCAATAGGTGTAATTCTACTGATACAAGGACTTGGTGCAGCTATTGGACAACCTGTTGAAGGTAATGTAAATCTTTTTTTAACTTTGTATGTCATGTATGTATAGGTTTCTACTGTCATCATGGTAAACATGGTATATGCAATTATGATAAGAATAAAAGGATATGTTGGGTAATAGTTAGTAGGACAGCAGCCCAAAGACGCAAAAAAATATATTACGGTCAACTTACAGGCTTGAATAATTGAAAAGTGTTTATACAATTTGTCAAGATCTTAATCACTGAGTGTCTAGGTTTTATTTCATTAAAAATGAAGAAATCAATAAATATTTTAACTCACAAGTTGTATAAGAACTTATTCAATATCTGACAAGTACAAATTGAGGCTAATAAAAAGAAAAAAAAAATAATCTAAGCAACTACTAGTTGATATATATAGAAATATTTTTTTTTATCTGAAATGTCTTTTATTGTATTAAAGGTTCACACCTGAAATTAGGTCTCTTGGATATATTATATGAAAATAAAGAAATGTGATACAATTGCCAATGAGACAACTTTCCATTGACCAAATGACAAACATAACAAAGATGAAAAATTACAGGTCACAGTACATCCTTCAACAATGAGCAAAACACATACCATATAGTAAGCTATAAAGGCCCTAGAATGACAAATGTGAAACAATTCAAAAGAAAAAACCCTTGGGCTAAATTATACTACAAAAAGAACTCATATTAACCAAGGTCTATAGAAAGTGGGTTGCAGTGACCTTTTTTTATGATTATAGTAGCCAATGTGGCTAGTGATAATTTCATTTACATGTATCTGTATATCCGACCTATATCCTCTGCTTGTGAAATTAAATCATACTCTTTGAAATGTGCCAATTGATGTTGCCAGATTAAATTGAAAGTCCAAAAGTTGGCCAGTAGATATTTCATTTTGGAAGAGTTGAATGAAAAAGCAACTTGTGTTAATTAATATATATGTAGGACTCAAATCTATGGCGGGTTCCAAATATATGGCAGATTCCTAATCTATGGCAAATATGATGTTACAAACGCCAAACAAATCAAATCTATGGCAGATTTTTGTTTTCTCCAAATCTATGGCAGATTTAGGAATTACGTAATTTTTCGGGGAAAAGAGTAACATGTAACGTCACAATAAAATAACGCCATAAAAGTCGTCGCCGACAGTAAAGTTGTTGGCCCTCCAAACTTTCCTGAAGTCCAGTGTTTAAAATTCTCAGGAAAACACTTTCCGCTTTCCCTCTAGAACAATTTGCCGATGGTTTAAATGAAGATGTGATCTTTTATCCATAGGAGGGACACTCATTATTGTACCGTCCGAATCCCGCGATCAAGAAAGGCACAGCTGTTTTTAGTAGTGGATATTTTGGGAATGGAGTTATAGTAAATATTTTAGCGTCTACGGCTGACAAAGTATTTAAAGTGAGAAAAATAAAATTACAGGATACCACCTTGACTTAAATCGTTAAAAAAGATTGATTAATGCTGAAATAAATATCATGTGAAAAGTCAAACTGTTTAAATTGTTTTTTTTTTTTTATAAAAAACTGCTTTCTTGTTTGTTAAGGGACTTCCATTTTTCTAGTTGTTTTAATTAATGGATTAAACAGGTACCATGCACAGATTAGGAAATGCTTATTTTTCCAAGGAAGATAATTTTAATCCCAATTTCTGTATTATGGTATACTAGTATCACTTCTACACTTTTTTATGGTTGACATCACGATTTGGTTGACCATAAGGGAATTTTTATTTCACAAATGTTTATAGACATTCTCCCGTTGTCGTACATTTCAACTTATTTAAGACAAGTCAGTGATTGTATATGTACTACCTTGTTCTACATTTGCACAAAATCTGCCATAGATTTGGAAACAACAAAAATCTGCCATAGATTAGGAAATTACAAAACTTGCCATAGATTAGGATTTTAACAAATCTGCCATAGATTTGGGATGGCATGACGTCATATTTACCATAGATTAGGAATCTGCCATAGATCTGGAACCCACCATATATTTGAGTCCTACATATATATATAGCAGGGATCATATTAATAGCACATAAATATATTCCTTTGCTGAAAATTTTGATAGATAACATGCTGGACTTTAAATATACATCCTTCTTTTCATGCACGAACTCAGTCAGTCTGACTAAAGCCAGCCCCTACTATCCACAAATGCCAATGGATAGTGGGGACTGGCTTTAGTCAGACTGGAACTTCGTTATTTTATTTCAGTGTAATCTTTATTTATTTTTTTCAGGGGCCATCAAAGGAAGATCAGGGTCATTTTCCCTTTTGAATTATATAAATTCTTCATTGATGATTATTGGAGGATTTTTTATGTTCCTGTATCCTTTAATAAGAGATGCTAAAAAATCAAAAAATAAAAATGATACGGAACAGGAAGAAGAAGAAGCTTAAGGAAAGGGAAACAACTCATTTAAAAGCAGAAAAAAGTTTCTATGTCAATATTTTCCAAGGAAACGGAACATCTTACGTCTCAATGTGAATAACTAGCAAAAAAAAATTACATTAAAACCTGGTTTCTAAAATTGTTTATGTAAATCCCTATTGTTTATTTAGACCCCTTGCAGGGATGTGAGAGAGATAGAATTGAGTTATCTGTCAGTTTATTAATCTGTCAATCAACACATATGATCAAAAGGGAACATCTCAAATATGGTAGACAAATTCTGTGGGTTCATTTATTTTTATGGTATCAATTTGAGTGGATTAAGGAAAAATTGTGTTTTCATTGTTAGTTGTTTCAAGGATTTATATAGATCTTACTATATGCATTCTTGGTTGATTTCTTGTTTTTTTTCCAAATTATACAAACAAGCTTATTGCAAATTTGTATTTCCTTGTACATTTTATTCATAGAATATAAAATTAGTACTGGTATTCCAAGAATGATAATGAATCAACAATGCTTGGCATATTTTAGTAGAACATTCAATCATGAAGGGGAGATGATCTTCTTATCCTGTCATTATCTACAAATTTTTTGGGAGAAATTATTCCTTTAATGCTGTACATATTCCAAATATACATTCAATTCTTTGTTAGTGTCAGCTTCCAAGATTTTTGTTACTGGTAATTCTCATATGGCATGTCCAGATATCATGTCCTTTCAAGCTATGTCATTTATTGATAAGTTAGTGTGATTATTTTGTGTTTTATTGGTTTTGTTTATCAAATTATTATTAGTTATATCATAAATACAATGAACAATTTTTTTACAAATATTTTAAGTGTATTGCTGTTTTCATTTCATTTGTAATTAATAATGCATCTTACACATGATTTAAGTGCATAATAGTTTACACATTTTTTGAATATTTAATATTTTGAGAAAACTACATTTATGATGTTTTCAACTTTGTGAATATTTCTTGATTTTTTTTAAAGATTATTACTGTTTGAATATTGTGCAAAAGATATGTAAATGCAATATATTTTTTATGTATTTCAATTTTATCTTATATTTGATTGTGTACAGTTTAGTCAGATATATATTTTTGCTTTTCTTTGGTTAGTTTTTGACTCCTTCTAATTTGTGCATGCTTTATTTCTATTTTATTTCTATTTATTTTATCTTGTCTGTTACCTGGAGAGGATTATACACTGTTATCACTGTTATACACTCATTTTTCCTCCCCCTGACTAGTCTAAAAAACATAAATGTGTTTTATATATATATATATATATATATATATAAAGAAGTCTTAATTGAAAACAACGTTCTACCCTATGATTGCGTTGGATAAAAACCGCAATTTTTATAAGTGTGCATGCAAAACAAATTTCTTGGTAGAGGGGTCTAAATACAGCACAAACAACATTTTCCAAAAGACCAAAAAAGTGAAAAAGTATATTTTAACAAAACGCATTTGACTAGCAAGTCAAACAACTGATGTTCTTAAACCCTGCTGACTGCCATTGGCGATTGCCAAATAAACGGATCACGAGATGTGACAAAATGGATCTTATAATTAATCTATTACCAAACAGAAAACAATAAACTTGCGGAAAAGATGGTATACCGCAAACATGAGGTGCATATATATATGGCGAGGGAAGAACAGAAAGTTGCTGCTGCAAATTTGCAGATTTAACATTGTTGTGCTGATATTAAGAGTAACTGTGAATATAATATGTGTTTTCAGCTGTGTATCACCTTCACTGGTGATCCAATGGATGGATCTGTCATAGAGTTGTCACTTGTTCATGTTGTTTAGACATACTTATTAAATGATTATTTCTGTGACTGCATCTTACGATCCTCTACGATAGATAATTTAGCTAATCTGCAATCAATTCCATCTTCATGCCTAATATATCATGTACTGTGTTACAACACTAGATTCTACTGATGAGGAAAGGTAACACCAAGCCACCGAAAGCTGAATTTTTAGTTCAGTCTAGGTGGTCGAGTGGTCTAGAGCGCTGGACACAGTGCAGGCGATGTTGTCACGATATCCCAATAGCATGAGTTCGAATCCCAGCGAGGGAAGAACAAAAATTTGCTGCCACAAATTTGCAGATTTAACATTGTTGTGCTGATATTTAGAGTAATTATTTATATATGTATAACACGCCTACCTTGCTGTTAGAATCATTCGTAGCAGGCCTTCCCAAGTATGTCAACAGTAATTACTTCGTCTTCCCACAGCCGATTGGAAATATCAGCCAAGGGGGGGGGGGGGGGGGGTCCAACCATATGTCCCCATTCAAAATCATTGATCGTCAAAAAGAGGGGGGTTCCTACCCCCAGAACCCAACCCCCCTCATGATCCGCCACTGTATTAAGGTATATAGGAACTTTTTTTTCAGAGACAAGTGCCTGAGAACACAAAAGACTAACAAAGGCTAGAGGTTCCTGACTTGGGACAGGTGCAAAAATGTGGCAGGGTTAAACATGTTTTGTGAGATCTCAAGCCTCCCTCTATACCTCTAGTCAGTGTGGAGTAAACAACCATATAGCAATAGGCACAGAAAAACTCAATTTAAAAGAAGCCTTTTAAAACATGTAAACCATGAAATCGGCTGGTTTTGTATGTCTTTCCTAATTTCTTATAGATTATATCATCCAAGAATTCAAATATAGAGACATATTCAAATCTCATCCAAGAATTCAAATATAGACAAAATATTCAAAAAGTGAGTAAACAACAGATTTATTCAGGAATTTATTGCGAGTGAATTATGACTATTGATTGGTCACAAGTTGATGCAAAGTCATTGACAATGTCCTTAGAACACCTATTGTTGTTAATTATTACAGAATTTCTTTTACGTGTGATATTATCAGTTTTTATTTGACTGTGAAACCAAAGTACTTCAACGCAACAAATTGTAATAATTCTTCTTAATCATTATGTATGCTTACTAAATTTTAAGATGCCAGACTGAATTCCCCAGGCTGAAGAATTTATGATATAGCCTAAATGTGAAAGAGATAGCAACCAAGCAATACAAGTGAGGTAAAAGGGTATAAAGAGATCACTATCATTTAACCTCATTGAATGAAAATGTGCAACTACAAGCATTAAATATCGCCTAAATCTAGACAACAACATAGACAGCCTAATATCTGACATTTACTCCTCAAGGAAAATGAAAAGAAATCTGAAATCACTGGCAAGAGTTCTGACTCAAATTCAGACACAAAAATGTGTCAGCTGTGTTTGAGTAATTCTGTGAGTACTCGCTCCTCGCCTTTTTATCTCAGTTATTTAAAATTGAATTTTAAGTCATTAATTCATATATATATATATCAATATAATTTTTGTGACTTAATCAAATTGATATCAAAAATGGGAATTTTATATATTTTGTTGATGTTTTAAATATGTTCGTTTCAATATATGTTGGTTGAAAAATATAGACCTGCCAGTTTATTTGTTTTACAGGATATGGCATTGTTGTGAAACTTGTTTATACATATAGTCATTTTATTTTCAGGTGAAAATTTCAATGTTTGCTCTTAAACAATTATTTTACATTTTCTATTGAAGAACTATAATATTATTTAAATGCATTTGCATTTTTATTAGATCAGGGTAATTTCTACCTCATGACCATATCTAACTTGATTTCAGTATGTAATGTGAAATTTATTTTAATCATTTGCCTAAAATTCTTGATAATTCTATCATTTCAAGTCAAGAAGAGTTTGTTTTTACCTGAAGTAACTTCTAAGTTCACATAAGAGTGATAAGACTATTTTGTAGTCAAATATTTTGATCTTGATATATTCCAAACATTCTTATATTTTTGTATGATTATGATATTTTTTGTAATATGTTTTTAGATGTTTAATTTGAGATTGAAATATGAGAACCCGGCATATGTGAATATATTGAAATATGTTTATTTATACATGTAGTAGCGAATATATTTAAGTATTATATGAATGTACCCGATTTTACTTATCAGTTTTTTGTTCATGTGTTATTTATTAAGGATTTTTACCAAACTTACAAATTATCTTTCTAAAAGCAATTCAAGATCCAGTAGGATAAGTCTTGTATGTCTAGCACCATACATGTCAATTGCACATAGATATTCTTGTTTTGTTATTCCCAAATTTACAAAACGATCATGCCTTGCTGCTGATGCATAGGTTTAATTATCTGCAGCCTGCATAGAAATGGATCTTAGTTCAAGGGTAATGCCTCTAACAAAAAGCCTCTTTTCTTTTACTTCACATTATAAAGGTGGATTTGCTGTTCAAACTGCCTGTGAATATGCAGAACACAACCATACATTGTTTTCATGTTATGTAATAGGACTATTATCAAATCAATCAAATCAAATAAAATCAATCCCGGTCAATCAGCTTACTTTTGAAGGAGAAAACAAATAAGCTGGACCTAGCCTTCAGAAAGATGAATATGTGTTTCTCTAATATATGTATAATAATGCAATAGATTTTTTTTTAATGTTTTAACAAGTAAATGATTCCGACAAATAAAATTAGTTTTCTGAATTATCATTAAATATGGCAAGCGTGTAATGATCTGAATAGAACTTATTATATATCATAATAATAATTTATTTCCAGGTATTATTTTGTGACAAAAACTGGAAAAAATTCTAGATGAATCTCATTTTTTTTCATTGTTTGTTAACCTTATTCAAATAGATCTTTAGGTATGTATTTTATGTGCATTTTACCATTTTAAATGTAAATAAATGGAGATTTGTCTCATTGGCTATCATACCTCATCTTCTTATTTTTATATCAGTTTAAGTATGAAAAAATTGAATTACCTAAAATTGAAACCAAATTTAAGTAAGGAAATTATGATACTAAGCAACTTTAAAAGATCTTGTACAATTTTTGGAATTTTATTCAAATTAAAAGTGTCACATAGTATGAGTAAAACTGATTATATGATTTTATATAGATATAACTGTATTCAATAAACATCTGTTGAAACAGGTAGGCAGCTTTTTTTTTACACTATGTATTATGAAGTGACTATGTATATACACTTGCTACATTTTCATATATATATCTTTTTATATATATACTGAAATTTAGCCCAACATAGTTTGATCCTCAAATTTCCTTAAGCATTGTTGGGCGAAGTATATATGAATTATGGTGTAAACCCTGTATAACCATAGGATGTCCGATGGAAACACCTGTCGTGAAGTTGTCACATATTTATATGTATATCTATAAAATTTATATTTATATATATCTGACAAATTTGTAGTCGAAAAATTTGTTCTTCCCTCAAACAGAATATATGTCACTGAATTTATATTTTAAAAGGTTTGTCAGTTAATCATGTTTATGCTTGTTAAATATTGTTTACTTGTCCTGAAGAACATTTAAAATTAAGTACTAACTCTTCAATTATTTATCTACCAATGCTCTATTTGGATTTGAATAAAATAAGAATGAAGATATGTTGCAATCAGTTTTGACAAACTCACCTAAATATCGTCAAATTTTTATGGTGAATTTAAAAAATAAATTTAATATTAGTTTAAACTGTTTGTTAACTTTTTTCTAAATAAAATGTATAACATGAACACTGTAAAGAGGA